ATTCCTATTACGAAATGTCTCGAATGTGGGTCTTTCACATGCAATCAGGGCCGTGCTAGTGACTTGGATGCCCTCTCGATATGCTCCAACCCTCTCGCTACTTTGCGCAGCCTTCCTTTTCCCCCCTCACGTCGCCTCTGTGTGCTTATTCATCACGCATTCTTTAGGTCCTCTGCCGTATAACGCCAGCCACTGTTTTGAGCACACTCGTCGAGAGAAAGAGAGAGAGAGAGAGAGAGAGAGAATAGATCCCATTCGACAGACGAGAACGCCTCTGGATGTTCACACTGAATAGCTCTTGTGAGGTAGCGCCAAGGCAACAAAAAGAAAATCTCAGTCACAAGGACAAATTTATTGCCTCAAATTTATTCAGCTTCCAATTTGCACTTAAGTGGTTGCTGCGGAGGAAGGAAATTACACATTTCTAATGAACTCGAGAATTATTTACAAGTGCGTCGTTTATTGAATTTTCTTTTTCATTCTCTTTGAGGTTAATCTTGCGCCGGATTTCTGTACTTATTGCCCCAGCGTTGGCATTGGCAGGAATATTAATCAGGTAGGCGTTAACAGTCGAGGCTGCAATTATGATCGCAGCAACAACTTGCACTTATATAACGTCCTCCACGCAGTATAGCGCCTTTGAGCGCTTAACAATGGCGGAGCCGGACTCCGAGATGGGGGGGGGGGGGGAATGAGCAGGAGGCTGGTGCCAGTCGAGTGGCGGTCGGAGAGGTAGGGAGCTGCCAGAGAGTTATTTTGTAGGACTGAAGATTGTAGAAGTTTGAGGCACAGATGCAGCCCCGACATTATTGAACGATGAAAGCCATCATTCCCGGGAACAGATGAATTAATCCTCCCAGCACAACAGTTGTTATTAAGTTGGAAGGACAATCTCTTTCGGTCAATGGTTCCATTGCGTCCTTTAAACCTATTCCCCCATGCACAGAAACACGCACAAAATCTCTGTCTCTCTCTCTCTCTCTCTGCAAATGTAGCCTTCTTTTCTGCTCAACTGTTATCACAATCAAATAAGACTCGCGTTTGACACAGTGCAATGTTAATAATGTCGCAGTATCTCAGAGCACTTTCTCTCTCCGATCTCTCCTCGGGCAGTAGTTGATGGTAATAATAATAACAATCCTTGTGTTTGGTACGGCGCCCTTATCACGTCTTCGAGACGTCTCAAACCCCTTCACAGAATAGACTGTGAAGGGAATTGACTGTAATATTTTGGGGACGAAATGCAAGGTGTCAGGAAGGAAGGAAGGAAGGAAGGAAGGAAGGAAGGGCAGATATTAGCCTGGGTTCCTCACTTGCTTTGATGCCTGCAAAGTGTGGGTGTTGGTTAAGAACTGAACTGAATGATCTCCCACAACAAATCCAGCAAGCCTTTCTTTATTCTGTGATATTATACCCCTTCAAACATTTCAACCCCCACCCCCTCCATCATCTCTCGTCTGCTTTCATGTCCCCCTGGCTTTCCATCACCGTGCCCCAACTTTCTGGAACTCTTTCCTGACATCTCTTGCTCTCTGTTTGACTGCTCCCTCCCTCAAACACTGGTCCAATCCATCTCTCTCTTAGCTTGGGATCCCCCACCCCACAATTTCTGGTGCAATTTGAGACTATTTCACCCGCGTGAAAGGTGCTGTACAAAATTGCAAGTTCACGTAAATGTTGTTATGTATTATCTCCGATTTATAAAATTCAGGCTACGATTTGGGATTGCTTTGGTTGGATCAATAAGGATAACAGCGTCCTCTGCAGGACTAGAGGAAATGCTACAGTCGAGGACTTTCATCGGAAAGAAATCCCCAGGAAAAATTGCGGATGAAAAAAATTGCTGCTCACGACATCTCGGTCTGTGTACGTGCTGCGTATCGGAGAGCCTCGTCTGATGGAGTGACGTACAGTCTGGTCAAACAAACACCCGCTGTGCTCGGTAGCACTCTCGTAATCTGGGGCAGAAGATCGGAGCAGTCCAACGGAGGTCCCATCTGTTCGTTCAGGCAAACGTTAAATGTTAAAAGAATTCCATGTCACTGTTAGCAAAGAGAAGAAACTTTCTCCCCGTGTCCTGGCCAACAATCCACCCCCACGTAAACTAATGGCGAAATACTGCAGGTGCTGGAAATCTGAAATAAAACAGAACACGCAGCAGGTCAGGTAGCGTCTACGGAGAGAGGAGAATTAGTTAACATTTCAGGTCGATGGCCTTTCGTCAGAACTGCATCCGTTGATAAATTGCTCACGTCACTTGCTGATTGTTGACAACGATAATAATAAACCTTACATTTGATACGGCGCCTCGTCACGTCGTTGAAACGCCTCAAAGCGCTTCGCAGAATATATATATGAAGTGTAGTGACTGCGTATCTTTGTGGGCGAAAGGAATTTTGTTGTATGCACCTTGTCTGCCTGCCACCTGTGGCTGCAAGTACACAGGCGCAATAGTTTTGCGATGATTTGGTGCGATACCAATGGCAAGGATTAAAATTATTTTAACAGTAATCTGGGTGTTGCGACCTTTTCGGCAATCGACCCATCTGTTTACCGTATCAGATAACCTGGCACCAGGATTCACATGCCTGTAGGGTGCGCTGTTGGAGAGAGGTTTTGACTCCTATAAAGGGCTCCAGGAGCTACGGGTGACTTGCCCATTTGGTGTAGTAGTTTTTCTCCTGGCTCCAAGGATAACAATAATAATAATCATCATCATCCTTCCAGTTGGCAGAGTGCCTTCGAGACGTCTCAAAGCGCTTCACAGGATACACTGCAAAGTGAATTACCTCCATCTTTTGTGGACAATGTAATGCTTTCAGGCTGAGCTGTTCTGCTCACTGTTTGAATGCCATCGGCCGCCACCCCCCCCTTCCCCTTCCCTCCTTTACCCCCCCAACCCCAGCTCGGGTCTGAAATGCTGTTATCTGTCCAGGGCCTTGGGACGTCCTCCCAACGTGAAAGGTGTTATACAAATGTAATCTTGTTGTTGTTGTCGTCCTGGAATCAGGAAGGGTGGAGTTGGGGTGGGGTAAGGAAGGGAGGGAGGCAGGTTGGCTCAACTTTGGACTAAGATAGAACTGAGTCGATCTTCTGTGTCGGTCGGTCTCCGCAGTCTGATTCCCTGATCTAGACAGGGTCCTCGGGCACTCCCAAGGCACTACTGCATGACAGACCAGCACGTCTGGCTTGACAGCAGGTCTTTAGAGCTGGTCGGACACCCCACACACACGCTGGCATCTCCAAGCCTGGGCTCTTGCCAATGTGCGTTTCTTCCTTCCCGAAACTAGGGTGGGTCCCACTTGACAGAGTACGCATTCCATTCCAAACAATATGTAGGTGCCAGCACAGTGAAACTCAATCTGGTTTGGAATCTCTTTGGCATGTTGATGGGTTTCTGCTTGTCAGATACTTGGCTGACTGAAAAAGAACAACAACTTGGATTTTTATAGCGACCCTCGCACATGGTTGACTAGGGCGCTTGACAATGGCAGAGCACAATGCTGAGCTGGAGTGAAGTGTGGGGGGGGTGGGGGTGGTCACGTTCGAAGAGGAAGGTCTTCAGGCTCGACCTGAACATAGGGAAGGAAGCGGGAAAAGAAGTGTCAGCCTAGCTCATAGTCTTGGCTGATCCTCCAGCGATGCTCAAGAGGGAACATTAAACCGAGGTCCCATCAGTAACAATTGGAAAAGAGAAGGGAGTCCTTCTTGTCGTCTTAGCCAGCAATTGCCACCCCCCATAAAAAAATGCGGTCGTTCACTTCATGGCTGCTTGCGGGACGTTACTGCGCTGTGCTGTTGCTGTGCGTAAATTGGCTGCCGCGCTCGCCCCCCGCAAAGTACCCAGTCAGGCTCGGGATCGAGTTGCAAAGAACAATAATAATAATAATAATAATCCTTGCATTTGATATAGCGCTTTTCACGTCGGGAGGACGTCCCAAAGCGCTTCACAGAACACACTGTAAAGTGAATTGACTGTATATATTTGTGGGCGAACGCGGCAGCCAATTGCGCACAGCAATGTCCCACAAACAGTCGTAGTTTGAAAATGACCAATTTATTATTGTTTTTGGAGGGATTATTATTAGGTTCTGTGTGGAGTAAGGAAACTTGCCCAAGGTTTGGCCCTCTGCCTGGAATTGAACAATAATAATAATAATAATCCTTGCATTTGATATAGCGCTTTTCACGTCGGGAGGACGTCCCAAAGCGCTTCACAGAACACACTGTAAAGTGAATTGACTGTACATTTGTGGGCGAACGCGGCAGCCAATTGCGCACAGCAATGTCCCACAAACAGTCGTAGATTGAAAATGACCAATTTAATTATTGTTTTTGGTTTTTGGAGGGATTATTATTAGGCTCTGTGTGGAGTAAGGAAACTTGCCCAAGGTTTCGCCCTCTGCCTGGAATTGAACTCAGGTCTCTCACTTGCAAAACAATGGATAAAGAATAAACAATAAGAATAAATATGAAGAAATAATAAGAAATAATAAGAGTAAATAAGAATAATAAGAAATAATAAGAAATAATAATAAGAAATAATAACAAGAAATAATAGGAATAAGAATAAATAATAAGAAATAATAAGAAATGAGAACAATAAGAAATGATCAGAATAAATAAGAATAAGAATAAACAATAAGAAATACGAATAAACAATCAGAATAAATAAGAATAAATAACAAAATGAATAAGAATAAATAACAATAAGAATAAATAAGAATAAATAATAAATGAGCATCGTTTAACAGGTCTGGCTGAGGCGCATGCGCTGTGTGTGTGTCTGGCGGGGGAAAGGGAACTACAGGTCCCAGAATGCACCGGGGGAGGGCGGGGCGGGCGGAGGAGGGAGAGTTCGGCCCCGCCCACCCCAGCCGGGCGAGGGAGGTCGCTGATTGGCCGGGGTGGACGTCAATCAAGCGGTGGAGCGGCGTGACGTAATGCAAGAGGAGCTTCCGGGGGATAAAGAGGCGGGAGGCGGGCCCCCCCGGGGGGGGGGGGGAGGGGGAGGAGAGGGGGAAAAAAGGCGGAAGTGAAGGCCTGAGCTCGGGGCCTGGGGCTCAGTTTCGCTTATGTTCGGAGGGCGATAAGAGAAGTCGAGCGGGAGAGAGACACACAGAGAGAGGAGGAGAGACACCGCCCTCCCTTTGCTTCCTTCTGGGTGAGTGAGCGCGGGAGGCCTTTCTGTATTGATTGAGGAGCTGAGGGAGAGAGGGAGGGGGAGAGGGAGAGGGAGAGGGGGGGGAGACAGAGAGAGGGAGGGGGGTGAGAGAGGGAGGGGGGAGAGAGAGAGGGGGGGAGAGACAGAGAGAGGGAGGGGGGTGAAGGGAGAGAGGGGGAGAGAGAGAGGGGCGAGAGAGAGGGGGGTGTTGAGGGGAGAGAGAAGGAGACACAGATCTTCCCTTTACCCTCCTACCCCCCCCCCCCCCCCCTTTTTGTAGATGAGTGAGTGTGAGTGCGGGAGGGAGGGAGGCCTTTCTACATGGACTGAGGGGCTGAGGGGAAGAGAGAGAGAGTGGGGGGGGAGAGAGGTGGGCGAGAGGGGAGTGAGGGAGTGGGGAGGGAGAGGGGGGTGAGGAAGTGGGGGTCAGAGGGGTGGGGAGGGAGAGGGAGAGAGGGAGTGGGGGTGGGAGAGAGAGGGAGTAGGGGTGAGAGGAGGAGAGAGAGGAGTGAGGGAGAGGGGGGAGTGAGGGAGAGAGAGGGGAGTGAGGGAGAGGGGGGGAGAGTCCTCTCCCCCCCCCCCCCCCCCCCGGGCCCAGTGGCTGCTCTGGCTCCAGATGTGTGGGTTGAGGTGCATTGCAGGGGATGGAGGAGGTTTGGGGAAAGGAAAAGGGAATAGAAGAGGGGAAAGTGGGAGGAGAAGGAGGAGGAGGAAAGGGAAGAGGACACTATTACTCAGAGCTACACACAAGTCAGTATAATTTCCTCTTTCTCTTCCTCCCTCCCCTCTTGTTGGGACTCACTGTCTCAAAGGCTTTTCCCTTCCATCAAATATAACCCTTTATCCTCTTTCGATGGCAGGTCTTTTTGGGGGTTTTTGGGGGGAGAGGAGAGAGAGAGAGAGACTCTGACATCAACTTCTCTTTCTCTCTTGAGGAAATTGTTTTGCCGCTGTGACCGACCGACCTTTTGTTTCAACAGAACTTTTTGAGGAGTCTTTAGGTTTTTTTTTCTCTCTCTCTCTCTCCCTCTCTCTAAGTTAACTATTTCTATTTTTTCTTTAGACGCGCGTGTGTTTTTTATATATATATATATATATTATATATTGCCGCGCACACACACCTGTATTTACGTCGGATAAAAGAGGCACACAAGTTAAGTGGCTGGTGAGACTTGGGGAAAATGGGTCAAGAGTTTCTGCAGAGAATCAGCTGATTGTATTGTCGGGGACGGGACTTCTGTTGCGAAATGGATATGGCCCACAGGGCAAAGCCTTCTGCGTATGTTAGTGCTGTCATTGAAACTACAGCTTATTGCGCGCGCGTGTGTGTGTGTGTGTGTAATACTAATATATATTAGCGTCGAGAAAAATAAAACCAGAAACTTTGGGTCCGGTCGTAGTTCCAGGTTGCCTTTCAGCGCTTTTGCAATGCTGAGCCGATTATTTAGCGTACCTTTGAGGTTTTGCAAGCGGACAGCTATTTATTACAGTGGTGTCCTTCACCATGGGGGGGGGCGGGGGGGCAGGGGGTGCTATTCCTCGCTCAAGCCTTCATTTAGCCGAACATTTCTGAAATGTGTGTAAATGTCTCCCACCGGCAGATTTTAATGCATTTGTTTACCTGGTATTGTGGTCACCGTCATTGTAGTGAAATGACTCGATGGATGTTTATTTAATATTAATAATAACAATAATAATCCTTGCATTTGGCATAACGCCTTGTCACATCTCCGCGTCTCAAAGTATATTTTGTGACCAGGGAGGGAAGCGGTCTGTGATGACTGCCTGCATAAATCGCTCTCGCTCATCAGGATGTCCTATTGGACCTATTTGGTAGTCCTAACTCCCCCCACCCCCACCACCCTCTCCAGAGAATTAACAATCACCCCACAACTCCCCATGAAAATGAAACCAAAAGCAGGAAGTGCGGATCCACCGATTCTTACTCTTTATGTAGATGAGTCCAAAGCGCTGGCGTAATTGCGAGCCTAACTTGCTTTGTTTCGGTTGTGTTTGTGTTCACCTCTGCAGAATCACCTGAGGAAACGTGTGAGCTCTAAGCCGTCGGCATTTTTTTTTTTTTTTTTAACTCGCTGTTCGTAACCTTGACGTTTCCGTAACCACCTCTTGTTAAAAATGGCAGCTGCTTCCTTTTAAGTCGTAAAATAAATGGGAACTCGCGGATTTAGAAATGAGTTTCAAAACGGCTGGACGGCTTTTAATGTGAATTCTCCCCTCCGCTTTTTTTTTTACCCCCTTTAGCAGCAGGGGCGATCCAATTAAGGTTTTTAAAATAAAGGGATTTGGTAGGGTCGCTTTCAGAGAAACTATTTCCTCTGGTGGGAGAATCCAGAACAAGAGGGCATATATTCGCAAAATTAGAGCTTGGCTATTTACTGAGATCGGGAGGCGGTTTTCACCCACAGGGTAGTGAGAATCTGGAACTCTCTCCCCCCAAAAAGCCTGTGGATGCTGGATCCATTCAAATGTTCAAGCCTGAGGTGCATAGATATTTGTGAGGTCAGGGTATCAAAGGGTATTGGGGGCAAGGGCGGGTGATTAGAGTTGAGGTACGGATCAGCCATAATCTTATAGAAGCTGGAGAACAGGCTCGAGGGGCAGAATGGCCTCCTCCGGTTCCTACGTTCCTCTGTTTTGACTTGGGGTGTGAATCATCGCTCTATGCAAACACTGTACTGTAAACTTGTAATGCCATTGTAGCATTTATCTGCTTACTTGCTCGTCAATTCACTCTGACAACCCTTGGCTGACTTGCAGGTGACCAAACACATGGACCATGCCGATCTCTCGGTGTGATGGGCCGTGAGATCCTCCAGGTTGTCTCAACTGGAGTCGTCTCAGAACTGTGATAGTGTTGTTTTGTCCTCGTTGACAAAGGGTCGCTCGTAGATTCCGAGTGTATTTATTTGCGAAACATTTGAGGCGTCGAATGTCCAGAGGGGTTGAATGGTTAGTAATCCTGATGTAGGGCTCAGTATAAATGTTGTGCTCACTGGTGTCTCGGCCACAATAGGGGAAGTGAGGCTGACTCATTGATTAATTGAATTAACCTAAAAAGGCAACCACGTGGTCTTTTGTGTAATTTGTATGCAAGAAGCTTCTAGTGCTCGTAGCCTCTAAAAGACCCAATAACTTTTTTGGGGTGTGGGGGGGGTGGTGTGGTGCGTGGGAGCCATGACTAGGAACTATGCATCTCTTGTAGATGGCTTTATAATCATTGTATTGAAATTTCCATGTCTTGGCTCTACACGGTGCGATGAGTTGCGTAAGAAGAATGCGACACCTTTTACTCCTTTTCTGTTCTTACTCCCTTCTTCCCCCCCCAATCCTAGTCAGTAGCCGAGTATGAGAAATGTCTCCACTGTCAGTTTTGCTATATTTTTACGCATCGACTAAGCTTTGCCGAAGTGGCGTACCTCAGCTACTATAATTCCTTGTTTTAACAGTGGGCTGTGGCAATTCGTTAGCCAGAGAGTTGTTCCGCTCTGGCATACGCTGGGTGAAGGGATGGTGGAAAGCAGATTCGATAGTAACTTTCAAAAGGGAATTGGAGAGGTACTTAGAAGAAGCATGATGGGCCGAATGGCCTCCTTCCGTGCCGTGAAATTCTTTGATTCTATCCTGAGAGCTTCGGTGCTGACCAAACTGGACGCCGTAAAATTTGCTAACTTTTGAATGAGGATTGCATACGCTACGGTTGCTATTTTACACGCTCCTAAAGTATCAGAGATCAAATGTGTTTATTCTAATGCGTGCAGGCCGGTGTGTAAGGTTTGAGTTCAGGAGATGTGCGCAGGCGGTGTGGTCTGATTTGCGGAAGAAGGATCCAAAGTACCAAGGGAAGTGAAAACAAGTCAGGTTTGCTTATTCTTGAAGGCGGAACGTGACTGGCATGCCATCTCTCAGCAGACACAAAATGGTTCCGTGAGAGACGGTTGAAGCACAAATTTTAAACTCGCCGAATTGCTGCTTTCTACCAACGCAAAGGAAAGATTGAGCTGATCGTCTGTTTAAGACGCAGAATGCTTTGTACAGTACGGTGTTGGGTGGGTGGGTGGGGAAGGAGAAGAGGAAGGTATTATCAGAAGAATATTAAGAATTTGCTGGCGAAAGAAGACCAAGGTCCATCCCGTTCGCCTTTCCACCATAATAATAATAATAATAATCCTTGCATTTGATATAGCGCTTTTCACGTCAGGAGGACGTCCCATCCTGGCAGTCGCTTGACATGTTGTGTCCCGAACTGCTTATTGTGTCCCCGGATATTATTTCCGAACGGAAATCTTACCCTATTTGTGCTTGAAAGAATTGTGCTCCCGTTAGCTAAGAGGTACGAATGAAGCTTGGGGTTTAACCCGCGGGGAGTGAGAGTTGGAAAGCAATTCAAACTGGATTGTTTGTACATCCAGCGGTTCGTTTAAAAGTGGGCGGGGAGGAACTTCGAGTCCCCCACCTCAAGCAGGAAGCGACGCCAATGTGAGATACGATAATAATACTGATCTACAGTATCGGGATCTAATGCCTTGTTGCAACGTCTCAAAGTGCCTCGCAGGTAAATTTGCCAATTACCTGACGGGTGCAATTTATTGACCCGAGAATTGGTCCTTACTATAGAACTGGTGTTTGCCCCTTTCTTGCTGACGTTGTCCACAATTTCTAGGTGGCAAACTTTCTTCCCCTGCTTTGATTTAAATCGACTCTGCCAGTGTGACAACACTGAGCGTTGGTGGACTGAATATGACTTGAGGGCAGGGAGGTCCGTATCTGGTTTAACTGGTGATAACCACTTAACTGTGTGCTTTATTGGAGGTGATGCCCAATTTCCTTGTGTGCATTCCTAAACCTGATCCGACTTGACTTTAACGTGGAAGGCGTTGGGGGTTTGTTTTTTTTTCGCTCGTTTTCAGACTTGACAAATAGTGATGCAATAACCTACAGAATTGTGAACTTTCTCTTGGTATTGTGGCTTGTAGTTGTGATGTCAAGTGTGACTTTTGACAAATCTGCTATGATTTGCTGCTTATGCCCATTCGTCGTAGTTATTGAAAGGCCTCTTATATTCTCCTTTCGTGGGGTGCTACTGATTGCCACTTATGTATTTATAATAATAACCCTCGCATTTGTTGTAGCGCCTTATCGCGTCTTCAGGACGTCTCAAAGCGCTCCACAGGATACACTCTAAAAATCTAGTGACTGTAGTTTGCGAGCGAAACGCAGCAGCCAATTTGTGCACAGCAGCGTCCCACAACCTGTCGTGTTGTTATCATTTATGATGGATTGTTATAATCTGATGGAGATTTCTTTTTTTTTCACTTTAATGTGAACCATTTAAATTCCGAAGAGATTACCATCTGTTTACACACATTCTACTTTGCACCTGACCTCTTTGGTTCCCCGTAATTCAAGCCTATTTCACGTGTCAGCGTAGGTTAGATTGGCCTTGGAATATTGCCCCTACCTACCTGCCCGTACCCTCCGTTCCTCCGGCTCCGGTCTGCTCCACGTCCCCCGCCCCAACCGCCCTACCATCGGTGGCCGGGCCTTCAGCCTCTCAGCCCCGAGGCTCTGGAACTCCATCCCCCAGTGCCTTCGCCGCTTCCTCCCTTTCCTCCTTCAAGGCCGGTCTCAAAACCTTTCTCTTTGACCGAGCCTTCAGCTCCCCTCTCGACTCTCTACCCCCTCCTCGCTCCCTCCCTTCCCTCCCCTCACCATTTCCCCCAATGCTCGGGTCATGACCCAACTGTGCAGCGCCTTGGGACGTCCTCCTGACGTGAAAGGCGCTTTATAAATGGAATCTTGTTGTTGTTGTTGCTCGTTGTATAATGGTTCCCGCCGTCAGCCGACAACCGAATTGCTGAATTTGGAAGTGAAATTGCACGGCGTTCTGGCTGAGGATTGATAAAAGCGTCGTTGGGGTCTGTCGAGGTTGATATCTGAACTGCTTATTGCTGCGTGGGTCCCTCCCAGCCCTGCGATGACTTGACTTCACGCTGGCTGGCTGGCTGGCGGATTAAACTGCTTATTGTCCGGAGGCGTTTGTCTCGACGGTTACCGCCGGCCGTGGTATCTCGTCCAAACCGTCCTCGCGACGTCTTGAGTTTTCGATTGACAAATTTCCGATGCCTCGATCGAATTAGCTGGGCTTTTCATCGTTCGGAGATTTTAAAACGTGTCCGGGGGTGGATTCTGTCACCCGCATTTTCCATCAAGCCTCGGCTTGGCTCAGTTGGTTCAGAACGCTTCTGGTTCAGTAGGTTGTGAGTTCAAGCGTTTCGTCTGGGCTTTGAGCTCCGTCTCGGCTGACATTCAGTTAATGGTAATAGGCGAGCCTTGGCTGGACTGTCAGAGGAATGCTGCCTTGTCAACGGGTAACCATCCTTTGGGATGCATGTTAAACTGTCTACATGTCATGGGTACTGTCAGACGCATTGTATCTGAGGTGTTCAGTACACATGTTCGTATTGTAATGCTGCCCTGCCTTGGTAGGTTCGCATTAATAATAGATTCGACATGCCGTGTAGGTTCAGTTTGCAGACGATGCGTTTTACAGTGCTGAAAGTTCACTGAGGAGACTGGAGAGTTGTACTGCGCAGCACGTAATTATGTGCCGAGCGCTATGGCACAGCTCACTACTGTCCGCATCGAAGCGCTGACCGACCGGTCTGACGTTTCGAGAGTGACGCCTGCTTCAGATTATTTTGGTCAAGGGATTCCGTTGTCTCTTCCAGCGACCGCCAGTGTCTTCTGAGCCAGTTATGTGTTCACTTTCAGGCTGTCAGCTGCAAATGGAGCTTGGGAATGCTTGGGAAGGCAGTTATCTTGATTTCAGGGAAAGGGGAATGAATAATGCAGACTGCTCTCTCCATCGCACCAGTTGTCTGCTGTTGCCTGAGAGTAAAATAATAATAATAACGGTGATGGTCCTTGCATTTGATATTGCGCCTTATCACGTCTTTGAGACGTCTCAAAGCATTTCACAGGATATATTTTGTGGGCGAAAATGTGTCAGGAACTCTGGAGGAGCCTACTTAAGCGCTTTGAGGCATCTCAACGATGGGATAAGGCACTGGATCAAATGCAAGGATTATTACTATATTTAGTTTCCTTCTCTGGGATGAATCCAGGAAGTATTGAAGCGGCTGAGATTTGGAACCGGGACTCTTGACCACTTCCGTTTTGTTTGGTTCTGGCAAAGATGCTTAAGTTGTAGCTTCTTGTGGTTGTCATTTCATCGTGGTCATAATAATAATCCTTGCATTTGATAGAGCGCCTTATCATGTCTTTGAAACATCTCAAAGCGCTTCACAGAATATACCGTAAGGTGTAGCGACTGTATATTTTGTCATTGCAAGCGCTGCCTCTTCAGAAGCACTTTTGGTTGTTTTATTGGCATATCCTTGAGCAGTTCAACTACTTCTGCTCGTCGTTGGTTTAAAACAAGGCAAAACAACTTCTTCTAGCTAAACAGGCTGCTTACAGCTTGTTTCCTTTTTTCCCCAATCGCTGTGCGAGGACATTTTTTTTGTTCCTGTAGCTGTTTTAACAGTTTCCGGTAAAGCACTTCGGTGCTGACTTGAAACCTGTTCTGCTTTATCCGCTTTACATACCAATTCGACAGCGTGAAGTGTATTTGCTGTGCTAGCCGTTTAGGAGAGCTGTATAAACACTCTCGAGTTCACTGCTGCTCTTTAATCCTTTAAGGAGACCTTTGTCAGTGCAAATTGTTCCGCGCTAGACTGCACCTTTATCAAAGGTGGTGGTTTCTCATTTTGTTATGAACAAAAGCTCCAATACAATAGCAAATTGCATTTTCTTCCCACGTTTTGCCCACAAAATATACAGTCAATTCACTTCACGGCATAGTCTGCAAAGCCCTTTGAGACGTCTCGAAGGCGTGATAAGGCGCTATAACAAATGCAAGGTTTATTATAATTATTATTATGGAGCCCTGCTTGTTTGAGCCTCTCTTACAGCCCCTCAGGTCTTTGAAGACTACCTCTCTATTGCCTAGAATCTCTTCCTCCAAGATCATAGGGTGCGGGGGGGGTGGTGAGAATCCAGAAATAGATGTTCTAGATCTCTGTAAACCTCATGAGCTTTTGACACCTTTTTACCATGTAGCTCAGTGCACCGAGCTAACTTGTTTTCCGCTCTGTTTTGCAGCTCTGACTCGCCTCTGCGGTAACTGTCTGTGTGTGGCGTCCTCCTTGATCTTGGCCTCGCACGGAGCTCTCTGCCATTGGCCGTGCGTGTTCTGGGAAGAGTTCCGACAGGGGTCTTGCACTTTAGGTCATGGCGGGTCGCGGAAACACAGCTCGATCCAACGGGCCAGCCGCTGGGAGTAAGATCTGTCAGTTTAAACTGGTTCTTCTGGGAGAGTCGGCGGTGGGCAAATCCAGCCTGGTATTGCGCTTTGTGAAAGGACAGTTTCACGAATTTCAAGAGAGCACAATCGGAGGTGAGTGACGAGGCAGAAGGCACTTCAGACTGGTGGGTCTCTATCAGCCTTCGGTTCAAACCCTTGATCTGCTGACTAAACTTTCTCTTTGGTTGTGTTTTCGCTGCCTTGCTTTCGCTTTCTCGTTTCCTTTTAACAAAGCACTCGATGGTCCTGGCCTGCACTGCTGCTGGAATGGAGGTCCCTGTAGCTACCCGTTGAAAGAGCCACATGGTAGGACAGGATTTGGGATTAAATGATTATTCCTTCCTCAGACTTTAGCAACTGCCCTACCCTGTGTCGTTTTTACCCCCACTTTCTGCTCAGATAAGATTAGCAGCTGGGTTGACTTGTAATTTTATCATTGTCGGAGGTGATGATCATTCCTAGTAATATTCTGGACTTGAATCCTCTTTCGAGGAATGTAGGTAAGTATCTCTGGAAGTAAGGAAATGCTTGTACTAAACTCCCGATGCGTTGGGCGCTCCTTGGAGTTGCCCGGTGTGTGTTTTGGAGCGACTTAACTTCCTGTCAGATTGCCAGCCTTCAGTTAATTTTTCTTTTAGTGCCAAAATGTAGTTTGCTGAGGCTTAATGGGATGCTGTTCGCAAGTCCCGTGCTCTTCTAGTTCCTGCCCAACCTGTTGTGCTCCAGAAGCCAACGGTTTAGCTGTTGATCCACAGAGACCCAATGACTTGTCTGTCGATCAAGTGTGAAACCACTTAATACAGAGGAATTATTAATGCTTTTAGCACTCTTAATCACGGGGTTCAAGAGCAGGAAGCAGTGCAGGTATCTCAACTGAATAACAGGATAAAGCATTAGCTCTGTTCAGATGTGCAAGATAGTGAATAACTTGGAATACACAACAACTGGGAACTTTGTTCCAGTAAAAGCAAAACAGGGACTTAACTTGCAGTGTAAACGTAGACTGACTTTTTTTTCATAATGCCATAATCTTTCATAAAACTCTCGTATTGTTCCAAGCACAGTTGACTGTTTTCCACTTTAAGATTTGGGTAATTTGCGGGGGGGTTTTGGCTGGTTAAAATCGGATCAATTTTTTTAAAAAAAAGTGGAATACAGTGCTGTGAGCAGCTTAAGTTCCACTTGACTTAGTTATAAACTTGCCAAGGAATCATACATCTAAAAAAGAGTGTATGACGACTAATGGGATTCCGCCTGCACCAGGACATCATTGTTTGTTTGTGTCCTCACTTGGCCTTCCTGCTTCATGAACGGAAAAGTCCTGAGGCCAGACAGTCGGAGTAAATGGGGGGAAGAAAGTGCCAGAGACAGAGAGAGAGAGGAAATGTCACAGATGTCCACTGCACCACTGGCTCGGGACTTGGCTTGTCAGCAACGAAGTCCAAATTCACAACACGAGCACTCTTCTTTTGGAAGACTAAGCACTTGTGACGCTGTGCTTTTCAGTCGCGAGCACTTTTATTTTTTAAAAAAAAAGGTTCGACGCTAAAGAATGGTGGCAACTCTTTAAAACCGCTCTTTGCTGGCCGGGTGGAAATCCTGTTACTGGTTGCAGTGGGAGTTTTGCTGGTTAAACCTGCTCCGTAACGTTTGAGGTTGTGCGACTCGCTCTCTAAGATTAGCCAGTTGAAATATTTCTGTGACCCGATCACACGTTCAAAAACGCTCTGCATTGGTCTGTTATTTTGAAGTTAGTTCAGTGGTTATTAACCTGACCGGGTCTCTGGTTCACGTCATAAAACTGACGTAAGCTGAACATACGGAGGTTTCAAGTCCAAGTGACACGAGGCCAAAACAGGACACTTATCATGTTCTATAGTTACACCTTAACCAGATGGTTACTGTAAGATTATTGCACTTCTAGGTCCTGTATGTAATGTCCCCCTTGGAGAGTGTGTGTGTGCGTGTGTGTGTGTGTGTGATGTGATGTCAGTTACTTTCCAGTTTGGTTCATGGTAAGTCAGGCATGTTTTGTGGATTAATATTTAACTAAGGTGCTTTCTTTAATTGAATTACTGCAGTCTCTGCTTCACTATCAATTACTGCCCAGAAAAAATATACTTCCCTCTAGACTTTTTCTGCTTGCGCATATTGCCTTTCCAGCTCTTAATTGTCCTCCGCTGATCAACTTTTCCTTTTCCCCTTCCTGTCTTTGTTCCCTCCCTCTCCCCACGCACACATTATAGTTATCATTTATTTAGGCCTTTAGGGTCAGTGTAGCTTTAACGATTCTCCTGAAATTCCTCGTCGATACATATTTTAAACTCGTCGTCTGTTTCAGTTGTCCAACACTGTGTTAGCCAAATGATTTCCATTGGTATCCGCGTAATCATGCATTTGGAGTCCTGTAGCTCAGTGGTTAGAGCACTCGCTTTGCAAGTGAGAGACCTGAGTTCAATTCCAGGCAGAGGGCGAAACCTTGGGCAAGTTTCCTTACTCCACACAGAGCCTAATAATAATCCCTCCAAAAAAAAAACAATAATAAATTGGTCATTTTCAATCCACCACTGTTTGTGGGACATTGCTGTGTGCAATTGGCTGCCGCGTTCGCCCACAAATATACAGTCAATTCACTTTACAGTGTGTTCTGTGAAGCACTTTGGGACGTCCTCCCGACGTGAAAAGCGCTATATCAAATGCAAGGATTATTATTATTATGGGCCCGGGAAGACTTAAGCTTCAATTTTCTGGCGTTTTGACTGATATTCCTCGCTGAAGATCAAACCTCCATTCCTTTGCTAATTGTGGGATACCAACTGATGCAATTAAGTTCCTGTTTATGTAACCATTGCAGTACTTCTGTGACTAGCTGAGATTTGTATCACAGACACCAATGCTGAGAAAATTTTGGCGCCTGACTGTCCGGTGCCTTGGGACGTCCTCCTGACGTGAAAGGCGCTGTACACATGTAATTTGTTGTTGCCTTAACTGTTGCTTACACCGAGCGTCTGCTTGTTGCTTCCAGCTGCCTTTCTAACACAAACCGTCTGCTTGGATGATACGACGGTCAAGTTTGAGATCTGGGACACAGCCGGACAGGAGCGGTATCACAGCCTGGCACCGATGTACTACAGAGGGGCCCAGGCTGCCATTGTAGTTTACGACATAACTAACACAGTGAGTGACACTCATATCCACTTTGTCTTCCTGCCAAGTGTTTCCTTCCCGCTGCATAGATCAGGGCAAGTAGCCAAGCTATCAGATGTTGTCAGATGGGTTTAATTCCGGGCAGGGTGAAATGTTGGGCAAGTTTCCACACGCCTCTGTTTACCCAGCAGTAAGTAGGAACCTGGTTGTTAGTCGATTGATGGATCGCTTTTCCGGGGATAATAATCCCTTCAAAAAAACAATAATAATTTGGTCACTTAATCCATGACTGTTTGTGAGATGCTGCTGTGCCCAATTGGCTGCCGCGCTTCTCCAACAAAACATCCAGTCAATCCACTTTACAGTGCATCCTATGAAACGCTTTGAGACGTCTCGAAGACGTGATAAGGCGCGATATCAAGTGCCAGGATTATTATTATGGGGGCAAGTAGCGGCGCTTTCAGATCTTTCGAAAAGGCACCCTAAAGATGTACGTTTCGTCTGTGTGGACATTCAAACGCTGAAGAGCTCTTCGGTGACTTCCTGTAGATTTTGTAGCCAGCTTCAAAGAAGGGGTGCAGTAGTCAGGCCCAGAGTTATCCACTGAGCAGTGGAATGCAGCGTGCTGTTATGCACAGACCTTCAACTGGTGCTGAACTTCGTGGCAAATGCGTGTGTTTTTTTTTTAAAAAAGGAGACATTTACACGAGCCAAGAACTGGGTAAAAGAGCTCCAGCGGCAAGCCAGCCCCAATATAGTCATCGCTCTAGCCGGGAACAAGGCTGACCTTGCGAACAAGAGAGCTGTTGAATTTCAGGTAAATTGATCCACAGAATCGCTGTTTTGGGTACATTCGGTTCTATTTATTGAGAGCCTAACATTGCACATTGCCAACCAAATTGACCTTTTCCCCATCTTTCTCCTGAAGGCATTCGATGCTTTGTCTACTGCTGCAGAGTTCTCTCGCGCTAGTTAGCCATTTGGCTTTCGCGTGTGGGTCTTGACTGAAAGCTGAACAAATTGGCAGCTTCTCATTCAACAATGACACCACTAACAGTACTTGCTGACAGAATAATAATAAGTTGGTGACTGTTGGTGGGACTCTGCTATGTGCAATTAGCTTGGCTGCAGCATTTTGCCCACAAAATATACAGTCTAATCACTGTACAGTATATTCTGCTTTGAGACGTCTCGAAGACGCGATAAGGCTCAAGGGGTCAACTTTACCAGCTGTAATGGGAGATATGGTTATCTTTTGATTGCATGGCTCAGCTACTCGCTGAATGAACCTACCTAACTGTGTGGAGTAGAGAAAGCAAATCCGAATCCATTATCAATCAATTGGTTAGATACGAGCCAAGACTGGATGCCTTAGACATTGGGCTGCTCTTATTTTTACAGGAAGCGCAATCCTATGCAGACGACAACAGTTTGCTGTTCATGGAAACCTCAGCAAAGACAGCTATGAATGTAAATGAAATATTTATGGCCATAGGTATGTGAATGCTCAAATCCCTGAATGTTTCCAAATGCTGTGCGTGTGCTTTTTCTAACTTCTGCCTTATTTGAAAACCACAGGAGTTCACTCTGTTCAGATCTTGAGTTACTCAGCTGTACCGATGTCGAGCAGCAAAAATAAATGACATTTGTATAGGGCCATTCACGTCGGGATGACTTCCCAAGGCGCTGGACAGTTAGGGATTTACACAGCTAACGCGTGCTTTGTATCTGTCATGTTTAGTGCAGACAATCCTTACCTGGCACGTGGAATATGACTTGCCTATCTGGAAGTAGACAATTGTTAACTTGCTGTGAGTTTGGGAGGAGGTGGAGACTCATTTGGAGAATTTAAAAACAAAGCAGAAAAAAAAAACAACAGAGTGGAAAAGTTGCGCTGGAGTGCCTATTGCTGGATCGTATCGCTCGGTCTAACACTTTCTTCTTTAATGTGCGTTAAACTTGTAGCCAAAAAGCTGCCGAAGAACGAACCACTAAATGCAGGTGGAACTGCGGGCCGGAGCAGGGGTGTGGATCTGCAGGAGACCAATCAGCACAGCAGGAGCCAGTGCTGTGGAGCCTGAGACGGTAGCTGACAGATGTCTTCACGACCTGACCCGACCCACCCTTACCCCACCCTCAACCAGGACTCCCGCCCCCCCCACCCACTCCCCTCCTTACCACTTGCACTTACCGCCGGAGCGACCTGCGATCGCTGCGTTAATTCTCCGCACCACTCTCTCCCCATCAGAAAGATTATATTATTAAAAAAAAAAAAATTTTTTTTAAACAAATCAATTAGCCAAATCTTAAAACTCACCCCTTTTTAGGAAAAACTTTACACTTTCTCTCTTCCCTCTAAACCCAGTGGCGGATGCATGCACCGGTTATATTACCCCCCCACCCACCCAAATCCCACCCACTTCAAATGGGACGATTCCTTCACTTGGGACTCTACAATCGTGTGTGTTTTATTCCGGTGAGAGGAAAAACAAAATCATTTAGAAGTATGATGAGGTATGTATCCTGATGAAATCTCACATCTTAAAAGAAGTTCGTGCAGCTCACCTCCCCCCACAGCCCCTGCCCAACCCGCTTCCCCTTTCCTCACCCACACCCTCCCAACAAATCTGTGACCTGTGTTCATTGAACTTGAAATCGGTTGTCTAAATGCTTGTGGTCTTGACCAAATCAGAATTATGAATACTGAGCAGGGCTTTCCTCTTTGTATTGTAAGTTTTATTTTTTTTCCCCCCCTTTTACCGGGGTATTCAATCAGTGAATCAGTTTTGTCGATAACAGCACCTTCCAATATATCTTTTTTTTCCGCACGCTCGCGCTCTCTCTCTCTCTCTCTCTTTCTCTTCCTCTTTGTGTTTTGAAGGCGCAAAGAATTTACCCTCTCGGTTTCCAGTATAATGCACTATTCTGTTCAAGATATTTTGCAATAACTTGTACATTTTTTGATGTCTTCGGAGGCTGTGTTATCACTAATGTCAGTAATTAACTGCTCTCGCACAGTGCTCTGATGTGGAGCACATAGACACCCACGCGCACACACACACACACAGACACACACACACACACAGAGACAAACACACACAGAGACATGTGCTGTGACTGTTAACATTCAAGCCAGCTTGTCTGTGTAAAGAAAACCCAACCTGTAATTCCATTTGACAAATAAAATCGAGGGAGGTATCAATTCAACTCAACCCCAGTTTGAATCTCTGTAAAATGTTACGAGTGCCTCGATTGCCTTGAATCTATCTTATCTACATATATCTCTGCCCTTTGTATCTCCTGTGTAATGAAGTGTTGACCAATCTCCACCTCTGCATATATTCGTATGATGGAACTAATTCTTGTAACTACTTGAGATATATAAAAAAAAGTGTGCTTCAAAAACTGTGTTCGCTGGAAGTTTTCAAATCCCTTTGTGGCCTCCCTACCATCTTACCCCGACCCAAAACCCACTGCCTCCAGCCTCCTCTCGACTGGCTCCGGCCTCCTTTATGTCCCTCGTGCCCTCCGTTCCACCATCGGTAGCCGTGCTTTCAGCCACTACCCTCTGAAACTCTGGAACACCCTCCCTCTATCCTTCCGCCGTGCCCCTTACCTCCCCCATCTTCAGGTCGCAACTGAAGACCCTCCTCTTCGACCGTGCCTACGGTCACCTCCGCCCCCACCCCCCCAACCGGTCTCGAAGTCATGCTCCGCCACTGTCAAGTGCTCTGGGACTCTACCCTGCGTGAGGGGGCGCTGTGTAAATGCGAGTTGTTGTTGGAAGTATTGATTCGCATTCCCAGGGTGTTTTCTTTCGGAACGCTTGGAGCCACAGTCGAATAATTTTTTATCCACGGTGAGAACTGTCAACACACTGACCTTTAAATCAGTACCGGCATTGCAGTTGTGGGCAAGTGCTGCGGGCAAGTGCTTAACCTGCCAGTGTTTTGCTTTCATTCCAACTCTACCAAAAAAAAAAAAACTTTTTGTTAACGCATCCTGATCTGTCTCTGCCCCACCCTAATTGGCCCTTCAACATGTAACGTGGGCAGCTTTCTAAGAACCATTGGTAATTTAGAAGCCAATGGGACCTTTTGACTGTTCCTCCGCTTTAATCTATAAAAGCATCAAGCTCCTGCCTCTTCTGTCCATTACCCTCGCAGGGACTCTTGTCTGGCTGGGAGCAAGTGTCCCTCTGGTTCAAGATTGGCTGAACATTTTCCATCACCTCGTTGCTTGTCATGTTTATGAGGGCGGTGTCTGGCAGCAACCTTTCGTACTGATCTCTTGAAGTGAGTTCAGTGGTGTGACAGAGGTGAATTGACTGATGTGTAGGCTGGTTGGGTGGAGAAAGTATGCATCGGCTTCTATCAGACTGGAAGGAGGCAAGCTTCTACGGGGGAATGAATTATAACAATAATGATAACCCTGGCATTTGATACAGCGCCTCATCACGTCTTCGAGACGTCTCAAAGCGCTTCACAGGATACACTGTAAAGCGAATTGACTGTATATTTTGTGGGCGAAACGCGGCAGCCAATTGCGTACAGCGGCGTCCCCACAATCAGTGGTGGATTGAGCGACCAAATTATTATTTTACTTACCCAATGTTGCCTCAGCTGTTTTTCCGAATGAAAGACGCTATCTTACAAGCTGAAGGAAGTTCTGCAGTGGTAACAAAGACGACGTCTTGCATTCATGTAGCGCCCCTCACGACGGAGGGTGTCTCGAAGCGTTTAAACCAGTGAGTTGGAATTCAAGCATGTGCTGGGCAGGCATCTTCTTACGTAGAGTTTCATTCTTGTGTGCGGTTCAAGAGCTTTTTCTGGACTTGACTCTCAAAGCTATCTCACTACTGTACTGCTCTGTGCTGGTAATTTTTAACAAGTTGATATGTAGATCCTCTTAACGCACCGCAGTGCGAAACATAACTCCCAACTGCGTTCATGTGAAAGCTGCGGTATTAAAATCCTATAGAAATCATCTCTGCGGTCTCGGTGAGTAATTTGTTTATTTATTGAATTACTCAGAGTTGTTATTTATAGTTTTATTTTTCGGGTAGCCTGGCGTCTGATTACACGTGCAGATACATCCATGGCCGGGTTCGAAGGCCAACAACAACAAGATTGCATTTATAGAGTGCCTTTCACTACGGGAGGCGCTGGACAGTTGGGTCGGGACCCGAGCAAGGGGGAAATGGTCAGGGTGAGGGGAGGGAGGGAGCGAGGAGGGGGGAATGGTCAGGGTGAGGAGAGGGAAGGGAGGGAGCGAGGAGGGGGTAGAGAGTCGAGAGGAGAGCTGAAGGCACGGTCAAAGAGAAAGGTCTCGAGACCGGCCTTGAAGGAGGAAAGGGAGTGGGTGGGGGGCCTCATACGGACCCTAAACTCGCACAGACTGAGCTAAATAACCCATTTCCCTTCTGTACTGCCCTTCGAACCTGCACGCAGAAATTTCTGTGGCTGGAACGGACGACGTAAGATCCAGTACATCAGTTTGGTTTGAATTATAATCGAATCGGACACCTGCCCCGGAAGACGCTGAGGTCTTTTGCCACGGGATTAAATTGACCGTCCCCGAGAGAGTTGGCAGCAGCTTCCAAGGGAATCGGGTGGAATTATTTTTTTTCTCTCCGTGCGAACGTTAATTTATTCTGCGATAATTGATACGGAATGGCTTCTGGACAGCGCCGTCTCACGTTGTCCTCCGTTCAGAACGCAGTAAAACCGATAACGAGTCACTCCAAGGAGAAAAGGGAATTACTCATACATGTATAAATGCGTACGGAATAATTCGTAACCTTTTTTTTTGTATTTCTACGAAAACCCATTCAGAGGAGTGTTGAATACAAAGTCCAGTCAGTTGATTAGAAAGCCCGTAAATATGATTCGAGGTATTCCGACAGTTTCTAAACCGACTCGATCCCATCGTTTGTTTTCTCCAGTGAAACGGTTGTGTCCGATTCGACGCGACGGTGTAACGCCCAAAGAGTCGACGTTTTTAATGTGAAAATGTGGCGACTCGAGAGTTTCAGCAAAAAAAAAAGACGCTTTTTATTGACAGATGTATATTGGTCAAACAAAACTTTCTACACACAAGGAAACGTTAAGGATCAGTGTGTGTGTGAGTGTATATATATATATCTTAACACAACAGATACGTTCTTGCGCTGTGTATAAACTGCACAAGATATTGTGTTGCTGAAAGAACTTCCACATATAAGAGGCAAGATAACATTAAAGATCTGTGTGTGTGTGTGTGTATATATATATATATCTCTCAACAGAGCAGATACATTCTTGCGCTGTGCATCAATTGTGCACGAGATAGTGCGTTGCTTAAAGAAAATTGTGCTGAGATAATAATAACCCTCTGCGAGCGATACCAGCGCCTTATCACGTCTTCGAGACGTCTCAAAGCGCTTCACGGGATACGCTGCAAAGTGGAGCGTACTGCGTGTTTGCGGCCTCGGTTGCGCCCAGCGTCGTCCCCCCACCAGTGGTCGCGGATTGAGTGACTAAATTATTATTTTTTTTGGTTTGTTTTTGGGTGGACTACTGCACAACAGTGCGGTGGAAGAGTTCATTCGCCGTCTGCCGCTTCAGCCTTTCTTCCTGTCTTCCTCCTCCTCCTGCGCTGGCCGCTGTGTGTCGGGGCTTGGCTGGGCAGGCGTTGCTGGGTGAGGGGTGAGGCTGATGGACACGATGCGCTCGCGACCGGCTGCCAGGGTCCGGAGCGGGGCCTGAATGTGTAGCACGCCCTCGTGGGACAGGGAACAAGACAGCGCCTGTTCGTCCACACCCTCCGGCAACACGTACTCCCTCTCGAACTCTTCCCGCCGGTAGCTGCAGCAGCCGTCCGCCCCTTCCTCCCTCCTCTCTTCCCACCTTCCCGACACCAGCACTTTCCTTCCCACCACTTTCACGCTCAGCTGCTCCGGAGAGAACTTCCGGACGCCCAGAGACACAGCCAAGCCGGCTTCGCCGCCTCTGGCCTCCTGCCCATTCCGGCTCCTGTTCCGCTGCCAGACCACCTTCTCCTCCTGTTCCAGGAGCCGGTGGATCCGCTTCACAAAGTCCAGCTGGTGCCAGAGCCCCAGGAAGCCCAGGCTGGAGCCGGGCCACGGGTTGACAGGCTGACGGCAACTCCGACAAGTCTGCAAAGAGCCACAACTCAACATCGCTGCTTGTCCGTCTGTGTCTTTCTGAGGCTTCTTCTCGCTCGGAGCTCAGTCCGTCTCTGTGCTGCGGCTGTTGCAAGTGCTTCTGCCCCAGAGCCCTTTTATCTACCGTCGCCTGGACTTCCAGGCGCTTTTAGAAGGGGCTTTGCTGGAGATTTTGTGTGTGTATGTCTGTCGTGTGAGTCAGAAAATAATAGGACACCTGACTCATACTCTCAGTCTGGCTACACAAACACAGCGATGTTATGTGACTCCTCACAGCACAGACGCGTGTGGAATGGACTGACATCAGAGCTGGAATTGGGAGGAGCGACAAATAGAGGCTGACTCACTTTTTGCCGGTGGGACTGCGTACTTTGCAGGCAAGGGGCGAGCATTTGCTCTTATTTGATTTAGACGGTCATTTCTTCCCAAGAGGGAGTCGGCCTCTATTTTCGCTCTGGCCAGCTCTCATGTCGGTCCATTCCACAAGTGTCTGGGTAACGATTCAGCAAATAAAGCTAGTTGTTCACATCATGGCTATTAGTGGGAACGTTGCTGTGCAAATTGACTGCTGTCTTTGCCTGCACAGCTTTTGAGCAAGTTTAGGAATTGTAAGATTAATATTTTGAATGCATCTATCAACTGTTGAATTAATACTTTGATACTCTAGTAGTCAAGATATTACTTTGAATTGGTTTATAAACAGTTGCATTAATACAGTACTTTGAATTAGATTATAAAGACTTATGTGACTTTGAATTATCTTTTAAATAGTTGAAAATTGGTATTAGTGTATTTCACCCACAAAATATACAGTCAATTCCCTTTACAGTATATTCTGTGAAGCACTTTGAGATGCCTCGAAGACGTGATGAGGCGCTATATAAAATATGAGGATTATTATTAGTTAGATTTATTAGTTTATAAGTGGTTAGATTAATGGTTAGAATCACACAGGAGTTAGTTTATTAAGAGTTAGGTGAACACCTATTGAGTTTGAGCAACTAGTTTATTAATGAGTTAGATTAGCACACACTTAGATTATTGAGTAACTGCAGTAGATTATTGAGTTAGAGGAACACACGGTATATTATTGAGTAACTCGAGTAGTTTATTATTGAGTAACTACAGTACTTTATTAGGAGTTAGATGACCACACAGTATGTTATTGAGTAACTACAGCAGTTTATTATTGAGTTAGATGAACGCACAGTGTGTTATTGAGTGACTATAGCAGTTTATTATTGAGTTAGATGAACGCACAGTGTGTTATTGAGTGACTACAGCAGTTTATTATTGAGTTAGATGAAAGCACAGTGTGTTATTGAGTGACTATAGCAGTTTATTATTGTTAGATGAACACACAGTATGTTATTGAGTGACTACAGCAGTTTATTATTGAGTTAGATGAACACACAGTATATTATTGAGTAACTACAGTATTTATTATTGAGTTAGATGACCACACAGTATGTTATTGAGTAACTACAGCAGTTTATTATTGAGTTAGATGAACACACAGTGTGTTATTGAGTGACTATAGCAGTTTATTATTGAGTTAGATGAACATATATGATATTATTGAGTAACCACAGTATTTATTATTGAGTTAGATGAACATATATATTATTGAGTAACCACAGTATTTATTATTGAGTTAGATGAACACACAGGGTGTTGGTGAGTGACTTGTAGCAGTTGACCATTGAGTTTAGATGAGCACACGGCACAGCATTGGGCGAGCGCAGTAGTCTTTTCAGGGTTGGATTAACACGGGGGCCAACGGGGGAGGCGGGGGCGGGGGAACTCCATTTCCCAGAGTGCCGCGCGCCGAGCGAGCGCGGGGGCCGGCGGGAAGGGAGCGACCGACCGGGGCTTCCGGTGGGTGCGGTTGCCATGGTGCGGGTGAGGGCGATGGCGGAGTCGGCACCAGCCTCGCAGGCCCGGCCCGTCCCCCCGCCTCCGCCCCCGCCCGTGGCTCAGCCTCAGCCCCAGCCCGTGCCTCTCGCTCCTCAGCCGCAGGTCCAGCCGCCCGCCTCCGCCCCCGCCCCCGCGGCGGCGGCCCCCAGCCCGGCAGACCCGGCCAGGCCCGGGGCCAGCAGCGGCCAGCAGCGCTCGGCCCAGCGCAAAGCCCAGGTGCGGGCCTTCCCGCGGGCCAAGAAGCTGGAGAAGCTCGGGGTGTTCTCGGCTTGTAAGGTAAAGGGCCCCCGGGTGAGGTGCGGGTTGGCGGGGTCATGTCACTGGGGTGGGGGAGGGGCCAGGGAATCCTCTCACTCACTCACTCACTCACTCACTCAGCTCCTGTTTACCCCCAACACACACACACCCTCACACACCCCCACACTCACACACACCCACACACACATACATACCCACCCACACACACACACACCCTCACACACACCCATACACACCCTCACACACACCCATACACACACCCCCACACACACTCACACACCCTCATACACACCCCCACACACACACCCACACACACTCACCCATACCCACCCTCACACACACACACACTCACACACCCACACACACTCACCCCCACACCCACACACACTCACCCCCACACCCACACACACACACACTCACACACCCTCATACACACATCCCCACACCCTCACACACACACACCCACACACACACCCTCACACACACATACCCACCCACACACACACCCTCACACACATATACACACCCCCACACACAACCTCATACACACACTCACCCATACCCACACACACACACACCTCATACACCCTCGCACACACCCCCACACCTACACCCCCACACCTACACACCCACCCACAACACACACACCTACACACCCACCAACCACACACACCACCACACCTACACACACACCCACACACACCTCATACACCCTCATAAACACACACACCCTCATACACACACCCCACACCTCCACCCCCCCCCCACACACACACACACACACACCGACCCAGGGTCGAATTGGTTTTCCCCCAATAATAATAATTAATTCATTAATTAATAATATTCCACGCAATGTCTCCTCCTCCTCCTCCTTCTCGTCGCGCCTTCGAGACGCCTGGAAGGTCCCGCGCTGTCAAAAAAAAAAAGGGGGCGCAGGGGCTTGGGAGGGGGGGAAGGGAGGGAATCGACCCGCGTTCTTTTGCGGGGCCCGAAACCCGGCAGCCCCAATCGGAGCGCGAACGGCTGTGGGAGGGTGCAACCCTTTTTGTTCGGGGGGTGGGGTGGGGTTGGGCGGGGGGGGGGAATCGTTGGCCAGGACCCCCCCACCCCCCCGCGCGATTGGGGGGTGGGTCGGGGTGGGGGGAGACAGAGAAACTCTCGTCTCTTCTAGTAGCACCGTGGGGGCAATCGTTATATATAATGATAATAATAAAAATTATATATAATAATTTAACGTCCGCCTGACAGGCAGACAGGGACCTCGGTTTGACGTCTCATCCGAAATCCGCATCGCCAACAGCGAAACATTGGGTGAACGTTTTTTCCCATTGGACGTCTTAGCTGAAACGTAGCGTTCTCCTTCAGGTGTCGAACCTCCCTGTTGTAGCTTAGGGCGATTCTGACCCGTAAATCAATCAATCAATCAATCAATCCCTCGAGATCAGGAAATGAAATTGTGCCACTTTCTCTCCAGGCCAACGATACCTGCAAATGCAATGGTTGGAAAAATCCCAACCCTCCTACTGCCCCGAGGATGGATATTCAGCAGCCAGCCGCCAGCCTGCGCGAGTCCTGCCGCAGTTGTGCGCACACGCTAGGTGAGTAGTCCTGTGGCGTTAAGTCTTTATGTGGGATTCAACAAGTACTGAGGGGTGGGGGCCATATGCCCTTTTACATCTGCAGACTGGAGTTTCATTCCGTCCCTGAATCTCTGAAGTGAAAGGCGCTGCACACATGTAATATGTTGTTGAAAGTCTCCTCTACGTTACCTGTCAAGGTTTACGTTTGGTTAGAATTCAGCTCATAGCTGTGTAAACTGACTGGTAATACACCCATTTGCTCGCCGTGTTCTGTAATTTATCCGGTCTGCACTATCATCCTTAGAGTCCTGTAGCTCAGTGATTAGAGCACTCGCTTTGCAAGCGAGACACCTGGGTTCAATTCCAGGCAGAGGGCGAAACCTTGGGCAAGTTTCCTTACGCCACACACCTAATAATAATCCCTCCAAAAAACATAACAATAATAAATTGGTCATTTTCAATCCACGACTGTTTGTGGGACACTCACTGCTGTGCACAATTGGCTGCTGCGTTTCGCCCACAAATATACGGTCATTTCACTTCACAGTGAAGCGCTTTGAGACGTCGAGAAGACGTGAAAAGCGCTGTACCAAATGCAAGGATTATTATTATTATAGAGAGACTGGGGAGTAGAGGACAGTCTGGGAGGCCACGACTCTCGCCTGCCCTGCTTTGTATTTGTTGTGTTGGTTACGTGCTTACAGGCGGCTATTGATGGGAGTTGCACTGAAGCTGATTGTGGACCAATGTACTGTGAGGAGGCAATGTGTGAATGAGACTATGAAAGTGGAGTGAAAAGAGGGACAACTGGGAACCTTGAAACATTTGTATTTAGTGTTCTGACTTTTTTTTTGTTATGATGTGATTTTTAGCTGACCATGTCTCTCACTTGGACAACGTCTCCGAGGAGGAGATTAATCGGCTGCTTGGGATGGTGGTGGATGTGGAGAACCTGTTTGTGTCCGTCCATAAAGAAGAAGACACAGACACCAAACAAGTCTACTTCTACCTCTTCAAGGTATAACTGAGCGGAAGAGAAGTAGCACCATCTTATACTTGAGAACACTGTACGCAGTGAGTTACTTAGTCTTTGTCACTGGAACCTTCAGTGGGTCTGAACACAATGGGCAAAACGAAATAGCAATTATTATCCAAATAAAATACAGTTTGTAGATTATACTCGGAAAACGTACCATTTCTGTGTGTATTCCCCATCTCCCTGACGTTTGTTTCTTTTCCATCAGCTTTTACGGAAATGTATCCTACAAATGGCTCGGCCGGTGGTGGAAGGGAAATTGGGGAGTCCTCCATTTGAAAAGCCAAGCATAGAGCAGGTGAGTTTTGTCCTAGACCCGATGGTTGGGGTCTTATTTATTTTTGTTGCCCCCTTGTGATGAGTGCAAAAGAGAAGAAAATTACACCCATGTTTGTTTAAAGTGTTGAATGCCTCTCAACTCTACACTTCCTATTAATAAATTAATAACACTTAAATCTAATATATTTGGGGCAAAGTAGGAGGACTAATACACCAATGGCAGTACTGCACATGACTGCAGTAAACTAGTTTAGGTGTCGGAACTAGCAGGATGGTCAACTTGCCATGTAGGTTGACTTATTCTCTCGGAAAAGACTTTGTATTACAGGTTGGCTTTTGGTGCTTGTAGAAATCTATTTCGTTCCAAGGTGTAATGGCTAGTGTCTTGCAGAAATTGTATTTTAGAGGAATGCTTTATGCGTCCTGACCTCTTGGAGTTGCAGGGAAATATTCAATTACAAACTGGGGTCATTCTGCAGTTAGATTCTCAATTGGATCACCTCAGCACCACGTTGAGCCCTTATGAGGTGCATGCTGATTTTTGTTCTGCTACAGATTGCCGGCATTTTATTTATATTGATGTAAGCTTGAATATCGTTCTTACCGAGAGGAAAAAGGAAGGAATATGTATTTAGCAGAGAAGGGGTAGCAAGTGTTTAGTATGTCTTAATTGGATTTTAACTGTGCAATTTACTCCGTTCTTCCAGGGCATTCTTAATTTTGTTCAGTATAAATTCAGTCACATTCCTGCCAAAGAAAAGCAAACCATGTATGAACTTTCCAAGATGTTCCTGCTTTGTCTGAATTATTGGAAGCTGGAAACTCCGTCTCAGTTTCGACAGAGATCCCAGAATGAAGAAGTGGATGCATACAAAGTCAATTATACAAGGTAGCGAGGACAGGCTTTAAGTACTGACTCAAATTCCTACCTTTTCATTAAATAAAGTTGTACCACCCTTCCTCCCCATTCAGACCAAACATGTTATTTTGGTGGTGTAGACATATGTTGAATGCTAATAAGTTGTTTGTGTTTATTTTACCTCAATATAAAGCGGGGATACATAAATTTCGCTTTCTACTCTACATTTCTATAGTTCCTTCAAAAAAAAAATTGGTCACTCAATCCACGACTGTTTATGGGAATGCTACTCTGCGCAATTGACCGCTGCATTTTGCCCACAAAATATAGTCAATTCACTTACAGTATATTCTGTGAAGCGCTTTGAAACATCTCGAAGACGTGATATAGCACTATATCAAATGCAAGCTTTATTATTATTACATTTCAACTCCGCTGGAAGCAAAGTAACGTCTCTCTGGCTGTATAAACGCTCAAAATCAAATGCTCAAATTACATAAATATAGATATGATCAGAGTGTACGTAAGACATATTTATTTCCCGTTCCTCTTTTCCAGATGGCTCTGCTATTGTCATGTCCCTCAAAGCTGTGACAGTCTTCCTCGGTATGAGACCACTCAGGTCTTTGGGAGGACGTTACTGCGATCGATCTTCACGGTCACTCGCCGGCAGCTACTTGAGAAGTTCCGAGTGGAGAAAGACAAGTTGATGCCAGAAAAACGGACTCTCATCTTGACCCACTTCCCAAAGTGAGAGATTAATGCTTTACAAAACACGCAGTCTATTCACTTTACAGTGTACCCTGCAAAGCACTTTGAGACGCTTTAACAACGTGATAATCCACTGTATCAAATGCAAGGATTATTATTATTTATAAATTTGTTACACTCTCTGTTTTCTTTGCTTTGTACTTGCCATGAGGTAGGGTGGATTATCTCTGGATAACGGCCAGGTTTGCTGAGACAAGGAGTTATTAATGTGTAATGCCCATCTTCAGCCTAGTGCGGATTTGGAATGTCTTTTCCCACCATAGGCTCTGCGCAGAAGTTGAAATTAGGCTAGGTAATATATAGGTAATATATTATCTATATATATATATATAAATTTAGACACTGTTTCATGACCCGAGTAGTCCTATAGTCTAATCATGTGCAAACCCCAGTTATGTGTCAAGAACCACTTTATTGGGCAATTATGAGCTGACAAAGCTGCTGTCAAATATTTTACGGCTGAAAGTATTGATGCATCATTAATTGTGAATTGAAATTGAGCCGAGTTAATATTTTGCAGAAACAATTTTTTATCTCGCACCATGATCTGACATCTTCAATTTGAAGTCAAATCGATGCTGGGTGACATTAATTTTTATTGGGGATAGGCTTTCCGAGGATGGGTTGGACACTCAGCTGGATAAATCTAGGTTGAATGATTCCTTTTCCAATACTGTGACTTTTGCTTTGGAATTTCTATACAAAGTGACGACTCTTGTGTTTTATTTGTCACCTCGATTATTTCTTCCAGGTTCCTTTCTATGCTGGAGGAAGAGATTTACGGTCAGAGCTCTCCAATCTGGGACTCTGACTTCACCCTGTCTGCTGTAGAAGGCGGGCAACAGACCCAACAGCCAGGTAAGAGTCTGTGCAGAGAACTGACAGCTCGGCTACTAATTTCAGTGGCCGGACTTTCAGCCACTACGCCCTGAAACTCTGGAACACTCTCCCTCTATTCCTCCACATTGCCCCTCCCGCCCTCATCGTCGTCAGGTCACGCCTGAAGGACCTTCCCCCTTCAACCGTGGTTGTGCTCCACTCCCCACACTGGCTCAGTGTCATCCTCCACCACTGTCAAGCGCTCTGGGACGCTACCCTGCCCGAGGGGCGCTATATAAATGCGGGTTGTTGTTGTTTGCTAATTTTACTTAAAACCTTAAAGCAACTGCTCAATATTAGGAACTTACACTCAGCAAAAAAAATAAGAGGTTTTCAATCCTTCTCATTCGGTATTTTATTTGAACCGGGAAACGAACCTTTATGTGACTCTGTAACTGTAGGAACTACTTGTGTAACATCAGAGTTGACATCCGGAAAATCAGGAGGAGTAAAATATGCATTTCTTTCTTTCTAGTCATTTTCTTGCCTCCTGAAACGCTGCCATATATCTCTCGAGAGCCTTCATCCCGGCCTGTCTGCTCTGTTGATCGATTGAGTTGAAGTGTGCAATGATCTTAAAAGTGCACAGAGGACTTTAACCCTTTCGAATGCGGACTATCCCTTCACAGCTTTCAGAACCCACGTTTCCGTGGTCTACAGTGATTCCTCCTAGATATCGTAAGGCAGGATTATATGCCTATCATAAGGCATGTAATGGCCGAACATTTGCTATTTCCCAGTGGTTCTGAAGTACGTTAGATCTGTTCTGATGCTGCTGTAGTCCTCTAAGGATTCCTGCACATTGTCCATACTAATTTGTAGCAGGAACTGCACTGCAGATATCCGATGGTGCTCAGGGACTGACTGACTGACTTGACTGTCTTCCTGGACGTGTTGCTTGTATTTCACCTGATGTAGCCTAGACCACGGGAGTTTTTTCTGTTGTACGTCAACCCCTATTTTGTGGGAGCAGCTTTATGTAAAGCGTTTCACGATTGATATTGTGTTTTCCAGCTGTGAGTCCCTCCCCGGTGCCTAATATCCCCACTTCAAGCCGAAACGTCAATTGTACTTCAAGTCCAGGATCTATTGGTGTTGATATGGGGATTTCTGAGCCAGCACCAGGTAATCACTGCATCTTCGACCATCGGCAGCCGCACTTTCAGCCACTGCGCCCCGAAACTCTGGAACACTCTTCCTCTATCCTTCCTCACCTTGCCCCTTCCTTCTCCATCTTCAGGTCATGCCTGAAGACCTTCCTCTTTGACCGTGCCCCCCGTTTTCCCCCCCTCAGCTCGGTGTCGCGCTCTGGGAAGCTGCCCTGCACGAGGGGGCGCTGTGCAAATGCGAGTAATAGTTTGCTGTTGTTTTTGTTGTGTCGGTTGCACTCTCATCTGCCGATAACTGGTTAAAATCAGAAACATCGTGGTGCAGTTCAATAACTCGCGAACAACTTTGCGTGTAAACGAATTGCTGAAATCAATGATTCCTTTTAACGTATAGTGTGTGATCCTGAAAATCACAGGACCAAATTAGAGCCAAACAATGCAGTGGGGGTGGGGTGTGTGGACGAGGTATACAAGCCAGCTTGGCGAGAGAGTTTCTTCCCTTCACTGTACTGCGTGGGCTTTTATGATCCGGGGCTAGAATTACTTATAAACCAGCTCAGCCTAGCCGTTCAGTCCTAAGGCTTTCCTAATTGAATTTCCTACTTTGTTATGCACCTTGGACACACGGTGGCATCAGTCCTCAATAACTTTGTGCAAAAAAATTGCAATGTTTTCTGCAAACACGGACTGTGATGCAAAAGTCGGTGCCCAATTTTTTTGACGCTGGCTGTGGATGTTGAAGGAAGCAAACTCCCCCCCCCACTCCCCCCCCATTGATAAATATTTCAGGTCCTTATAAATGGGTTAGATCAAAGTGCCTAGAAAGAGTCTTGTGGAGGATGGAAAATCACTTGTTATCCTTTGCACGGTAACAAGCACTGGTTCTCAGAACCCTTATTCGGGGTCACACTAAAGGTTATTTTCTTCCATACCCTCCTTTCTTCCAAGTCTCCTGCCGTTATTAGGATTAATAAACTTCCTATTTCCCCGCCATTTGTGGTATTCCGCTCCTGTGACTAGCACAAAAGCTAATCAAGCTGGCACCTTGCTGGTTCCGTTGCAAGGAAAAAATTTGGGAAAATGCGACAGCAATTGCTCTGCTGGGTGGTATAAGCGAGCTGTCTGACAGTCGTGAGTCTGTTCCTTGCAGGAGAGAAAAGAAAACTGGCCGACGCTATGACACTGGAAGATGCAAAGAGAATCCGCGTGATGGGTGACATTCCCATGGAGCTGGTCAACGAAGTCATGCTGACCATCACTGACCCAGCAGCTATGTTGGGTCCAGAGGTACGTTTGAATTTGGTCTGTCAGCACTAACGACAAACCGCATTAATAATAATAATCTGCGTTTGATACAGCGCCTTACCTACCTCTTCGAGACGTCTCAAAGCGCTTCGCAGGATTCACTGAAAAGTAAACCAACCGTATGTTTTAGCGCCTTTCTCGTCAGGAGGAGGTCCCAAGTGAGATTCGTGACGGAAATTGTCGTTGGAATATTGTCACGTGGGAAATTCCTGATTACATTTTATGTTTAACTGCCAGTGTGGATATTTTGCTCCTTTCCAAATTTGTTTCCACGCCTCTGACGAGGCTGTTATTGATGTTACGAAGAACATCTACCTCCTGTATCTGCCTGCTCATTATAGGGCTGTGGCTCACTGCTTCAAGCGCACGCCTGCTCCACTCTTCCACATCTCATCGATTGAAACATAGTGGTCAGCTATCAAGTGTCTTGAATTGTTGCGGACTTGCCTGGCATTACCAAGCTTGTCTGGTTGGGATCCTCTTCAATCCTCCCTCTTTCACAGCCTTCTCAGTATGTACAATGTTTCTGATGATAGGTCATTGACCCGAAACGTTAACTGATTGTCCCTTCCCCGGGGATGCTGCGTGACCTACTGCGTGTTCCCAGCGGCTTCTGCGTCCGTACCAGATTTCCAGCATCTGCAGCACTTTGCCTTGCGAGTAATGTTTGTGATGGTTGATGATTGGAATACTGCAGAAATGGATCAACGTTTGCGCATTCAATTCAAAACAAACAGCTCAGAAACCTCCTGGATGTGAATGCGTGGAATTGATTTCCGCGCTACACGGATGTCGTGTGGTGTGACCTTTGTTGCGAGATCTAACTGCCTTTGTGGTTCTGTTTCCTGCAGACGAGTTTGCTGTCTGCAAACGCAGCTCGCGATGAGGCGGCGCGACTGGAGGAGAGGAGGGGAGTCATCGAGTTCCACGTGATCGGTAACTCGCTGTCTCAGAGATCCAACAAGAAGATAATGATGTGGTTGGTTGGCTTACAGAACGTCTTCTCACATCAGCTGCCGCGAATGCCAAAGGAGTACATTACCCGTCTGGTCTTTGATCCGTGAGTTACGCTTTAAAACACTTATTGCCTTCTCCCGCTGACGGATACTGTTCCGAAAGTGGCCGTTGTAAAAGTAACTTGGGTTTATTTACGACTGTTTGATTAAGAGTGCTCCTGGGCATGTTTGGATCGGGTACATTAGTAAAATGAACAATTACACAAAGGGGAAGCCATTTATAAATCATTTAAATCCTGCAGCCGTTGAAGGTGGCATCAATACTTTACAACCTTGTTTTATTCAAAGATTTTATTTTTAGGCGACGCGTTGAGACATCTTAGGGGAAACAGTGAGATATTTGCTCACCTGCTGAGCTGTAAGGGCGCATTCAGTAATAATAATCGTTGCATTTGACATGGCGCCTTATCGTGTCGATGAGATGTCTCAAAGCGCTTCACAGATTCGATTTTAAAGTGAATTGACTGCGTATTTTGTGGGTGAGACGTAATGGTTCCTTACTCAATCTGAAACTAATTTGCTTCCCAATCTGAAGTCAGAAATTTCAAGAATCTGAAAAGTTTCCGGCCGCATTGTTCACAGCACGCTTTCTTGCGTCTATTGGCGAACAACCCAGTGAAGTACTCTGCAATGTCACTTGTTTTGCTGTTACTGCAGGAAACACAAGACGCTAGCGTTGATTAAGGACGGCAGAGTGATTGGAGGAATATGTTTCAGAATGTTCCCCACCCAAGGATTCACAGAGATCGTATTTTGTGCTGTAACCTCCAACGAGCAGGTTAAGGTATGAGACAATGGTTCCTGGCCTACTTGTACTGGACTCTCAGTGATTTAATCGCTCCGAGACACTGCCCAGCGCGAAGGGCACTATGTAAATGCAAGTTGTTGTGGCGAATTATGATGTGGCGAACAGATCTGAAATAGATAGAGGTCGAATTACTTCATGGTTGCAATCTGAGGCAACTCAGTACGTGGTGATTTAAAATGCAAACCCTCAGGTTTTCAGATAAAAATCGGAGATAAGATCTGAAAATTGGGACATGCGATAGTTAGAATCCCAAACTGTACCCACTTGCGACCACTTTTGGATACAACACTTTTGTCTTACTCTAGTTCTCGGTCACAGTTATCATGGGCTTCAGAGAGAAACGGATGGTACGAATGTGTTTGGACATATTATATCAACGCGTATTGCTATTATACTACCACAAAGTACAAAAGTTTCCTTTTGAACCTGGGTATTACAAGACTTGTGTTGGATTGTAATAATAATCCTTGTATTTGTACACCTCGGGCCTGGTTGGGGGTTTGTAGTTAATAGGTGAAAGTTGGTTGGTGGTGGGGAGATTTTTTGTCTGTACTTGTGCGGTGTTTCATGTTGTACAGGAGCCCATTGATCAGTCCGTTTCACAGAGCTGAACATCAGCAGGTAATGCTTTGCGCCTTGTTTCAGGGTTATGGGACGCATTTAATGAACCACCTGAAAGAATACCACATCAAGCACAACATACTACACTTCCTGACCTACGCAGATGAATATGCTATCGGCTATTTCAAAAAGCAGGTACCGTTCTTTGCCAGATCACTGCCTTCATTCCGTTTCGCAGAGCATTGAATGCAACTTATGAATCTTGCCTTTAAGATATTAAGCAATTGAAGGAGAAAATGCACGAAATCAAAATGTCCTGCCTATTCTATGCTCCTGTTCAGGGATTTTCAAAGGATATCAAAGTACCCAAAAGTCGCTATGTGGGTTACATCAAGGATTATGAAGGAGCAACACTAATGGAATGTGAACTGAATCCCAGAATTCCTTACACTGAGCTGTCTCATATAATCAAGAAGCAGAAAGAGGTAACATGTCGACTGTTGCATTAAGAAAAGTGCAGGTCACATTTAGTGACCTTGTGTATTTGGTCTTGACTCTGTTGTAATATCTGCCCGACCCGAAAGGCGCTGTGTAAATTTTTGGGGTCGTTTTTGTAGAATAATGTTGTTGTACAATAATGAACATCCCACAGTGACTTGCCTTTAAATCTTGGACATTTACAGTATATTCTGTGAAGCGCTTTGAGATGTCTAGAAGGCATGAAGGGCGCTATATCAAATGCAAGGATTATTATTAATATTATTGTAATCGATCAAGAATCCTAAAGAATTTCAGCTTCACAATCCCAAGATTCCCTAGATTACTTCTCTTCCAGACAGTTTGCATTTGTTGTGAATAGTTATTTTCATGGAAACTCACAAGTCAAAGGCTTCTCACCCTGCAGATAATAAAGAAACTGATTGAACGAAAGCAGGCAGAGATTCGCAAGGTGTACCCAGGCCTGACCTGCTTCAAGGAGGGAGTTCGGCAGATACCAATCGAAAGCATACCTGGAATCCGTAAGTGTACTGTTGTAGCAAAGTACCCAGGCACAGGAGATACAGGATACATATACATCCAGCACCTTGGGACTTCTTCCAAACATGAAAGGCGCTATACAACTGTACATTTGCATTGTTTATGAGGCTGAAGGTGCAGGTGGCAGTCAAAGGGCGTGTGATAAAATCTATACAGGAAAGCACAATATAGACTTGACGTAATCTGATAGGATTATAACTATGTATGGAAGCGCTTATTGTGTACCTGTGAGTGGAGACTGTTGAGTAGATCGATGTGTGGTGTGGAAACTGTACCGACCAACCACTGGACCCGCGAATGGCAGAGTTGTGTGTGAAAGTCCCACCGTGTTGACCACCGCCTCTTAAGGAACTGTTGGTAAGATATAGAGCTGCATGGTTTGCCACTTCCTCATTAGCCTGGCCTCAATTTACCAAACCTTATACCATCAAGACAATGGATGTCCCAAACCTGATATACAGTGCAAAGAACATAAAGGACTTGGTCCTTGATGGGAGCTGAATCTAGCGTCAATTCTAGAACTGTAGCCTGGCCTTGTGTCAGCTGTCTGGCTCTGCGCATGTTTCTGGGGCAGGCTTCGCTTGCTGCCTGCCCGCCTACCATCACTTTCCCTCAGCTGCTTGGCAGCCTTAAAGATTGTCGAGTATCTCTGGGCTCCTCAGGCTATCGGAACAGTGTAGTAGTCGGTCAGTGATCAGCTGGGTCTTCGCGGGTCACCAGAACTGATGTTCAATTGTGTCAATAACTGTATTCCTCTTCCACGACAAGATGACATAATGGGAAGTGTCCTCCTTCAGATTAAGACTGGAGGCTGCATAAATTCCGAGACGGTCTGCAGTTGAGTGCGGCCAAAAGCATGTTTACGCAGAACTGACTGATACCTAATACGCCACCCCATGTGAAGGGTGCAATCTGAATGCAAGTGATTGTCGTTGAGATTAAACAAGAGGCTTGAAAACAGAGTGCAGTGTGTCTAATCGCGTTCCCTCTTTGGCATTGAAATGTCGGAATAAATCAATCCTCGGTGGGAGTCATTATAGTCTGGTTTCTAAGCCAGGCGGGTCCTTAGTATTGCAGGGCACTGCCTACTCCAGCCAGCCTGGCTCCTCAATAGAATTTGGAAAAATATTTTTCTTAAAAGCATTTTAAGTAAAATGATTCTTTTTTTTTCTTTCCACAGGAGAAACTGGATGGAAACCTAGTGCAAAAGAGAAAGGGTGAGAACCGTTTCCGTCGATAAAACGAGGCAGAAAGTTTTGTTAACGCTGAATAGAAGATTTAATACAAAAGTCCTGCTTGTTCGTGCAATATAAATATCCCCTTCTACTCAACATAAAATTACACCTAATGCTAGATTGAATAGAGACAATGCTTTCAGATATGCTGAGACAGCAGCACAAGAGGGCACAGGTTCAGGGGTGCGGAGATAATTTTCGAACAGACACCAGGAAGTATTTCTTTATGAAAGGGTGGGTGGTTAATAGTTAGGACATGTTACTAGGAAGGACGAGGAAGGAATATTCCTTACCCTCCACCCCTTCTGATCCCAACCTCCTGCCTCGGGTCCAAATCCCTGACTGTCCAACACCTTGGGAAGTCCTCCGGACATGAAAGGTTCTGTGTAAATGTTATTTGTTATTGTTTGAGGCCACTGTCTGGACATAATTAAGAAACTACTTGATGCTGTTAAGGAGGGAGGGCAGAGTTGGTATTCTGGAAGGAGGAATCGAATGGCCAAAGGGCTGCATTCAACCAGACGTCTCCGTGATCTGTACAGCTTTCACACAGTGAATCCTAACTGCCTCAATATGAATCAAAAGTTTACCCCCCCCACCTTAAGCAACAAATACAAATTATTATTTCAGTGGTGACATTTCCTGAAGTCCTGAATACAGCTACAGGAGTGCTGTGCATTTGGCTGATAATTGAGTGTAACCCATTACTGTCATGATTGAGGAGCAGTCTGTCGTTTCAAGTGCTCAGATCCACTTGTGAAATCAGGGTTTTGTTTGTTGTTGCTGTAGGCCGTCGTTGAGAAGCTTTAGGAAAGTTTCCTGATTCCACATGGTTGTGTGGGACACTGCTGTGCGCAATTGGCTGCCATGTTTCACCCACAAAATATACTTCATGGTATATTCTGTGAAGCGCTTTGAGACGACTTAACAATCAGGTGCTATATCAAATGCAATTATCATATTGTGTATTTACATTAAGAATACTCAAGGCGTTGCCTGGTATTTGTTTGACTGTGCCTATGTATGGAGTTGTTAGGACTGTGTGCTGTAAACTTTATAAACTACTGGAAATACTACATACAATAAAAATGACTGAGAATGAAGTTGTATGGTAGTAATAATAATAATCCTTGCGTTTGATCCAGTGCCTTATCACGTCTTCGAGACGTCTCAAAGAGCTTCACAGGATATACTGTAAAGTGAATTGACTGTATTTTGTGGGCGAAATGAAAGGAGTGTTGAAAGGATTCGCCACTAATTTGGGCTCTGTTTTCCCCCTTCAGGAAAGAACTTAAGGACCCGGATCACCTACACAACGCTTTAAAAAATCTACTAGCACAAATCAAGGTAGTGATCTAGCGTGCATCACATGCAAGCAAGATATGGTCAGGGTCTGAAGAATTTTTCACTCTTAAAATAAATCCCATTTGCACTTTTGGAGTCTTCTGAGAAAACAGCTTCACAACTGGTAATCTCAAGAGTCTGAATTGCTGAATAGTGTACTGTATACCCGCAACCAGAGGACACGGGACGAGACCTGAGATCAGAATTGGCCAAGGAAGTAGTGGGTGTATGCCACAAAGTCAACCAGAGGATGTATCACTGCTCAGCTGTTTCCTATAAGAACACAGCTCGTGTGGGTGGGTGGGGAGGGTATCTGTGAGTACGAAATTGCAGCAAATATCAGGGTGCACAAGGGTTTGAAACACATTTTACTTATCTACTTCAAAAAGTATTTCTGCCCCACTACCCTGCACTGAGGCTTTTTAGCATAAAAGGTAAAACTGCTTGCAACAACAAAACAAAAAGACATTGGTGGTGGTAATAATAATAACTATAGCGCCTTTCATGTCAGGAGGACATCTCTTTTTCTTGAACCGAATGTACCAAACCCTTTGTCACGTTCTGTTTCAACAGAGCCATCCTAGTGCCTGGCCTTTCATGGAACCTGTGAAGAAATCGGAGGCTCCAGATTATTATGAAATTATCCGGTTTCCAATAGGTGTGTTTTACTAATTGCAGCCGCCCCGTTTAAGACTGCAAATTGGGCTGAATTATGCATCTGTGTGTTAGTGTTCCGCGTGGCTGAAAGGATTCTGGAACACAGCGCAATAAGTCGGTATCCGTTCAATGCGCTGACTATATTTAATTCTTAAATCTTTTAAAGCGATTGCTTTGAGGCTATGTATAGGGATTGGTGGGGTTTATTTGGTTAAACTTGTGCTTGTGGGAACTGGACATGTTCTTACTTACTCTGGGCTTATCAGCTTGGACACCCCTCTTTATCTTAACTTTTCAACAGGTGCTTAAAGATCTTAAAAACACCAAACTCCTAGTTGTTCATTTGCATACCTCATTGTAGAGATCAGAATTGTAAGCACATTGCTTTTCAGTTCAGATGTAGTTGTAGAATGTAGTTCGCTGTAGTTGTCCAGCCCTTTGGCTTGTTGGGTCGAGGGAATGCTTAACTTTGAAGTCTCAATGATCTGTACTAGTTTCTCATTCATCAACAGCGCGTTGGATTACTGTGGACCCGAGTTCACCTCCCTTGTCTTCCACGAACATCAGTTTAGCTGAGTATGAGATCTAGGCGATTACAACCCTATAGCAGTCTATTACTGGTGCCAATTTAACGGTTGGCTGCGTTTGTGTAAAGCAGGAAAACACGCTTCCGTTCATTGCCGTACCTGTTCTTGGCTGTTTGGTGTTGTTTTAATTACACTGTCAAGCAAACAGCTACTTGAACATTCTTCCTAAATCCAGCAGCTGAATTCAAATCGGGTAATTTGTTGGAATTGTCGAGACCAAAGCGATGATGAGCTGACATCGAATTGCCCAGACAATTACAGCCATTCGGCCTCGCTCACTCCCGGGGTTTATACTCCACAATAGCCTCGACCCTTTCCAATCCCTCGCCCCCATGTTCACTTCTGCCTCATAACAGATCCCTACGTTTTGATCGCCGCGTCATCGAGGCGTCTCAAAAGCGCTTCACCTGAACTTACTGTAAAGTGAATCGACTTGTGGGTGAAGTCGGGCTCTGCGTGTGTTCCCTTCTCCCTCGTTCGTGCTTACTGATGAACACTAATCGTAAAAAAAAATGTAGGCGTCTTATCTTCGCAGTTCACCATTGGTGGTTTTCCATCGTTTAAGAACCCACCGAGTTGCTTAGAAATGAACAAACGACCCACTCAGCTTTGTGATCGTGGAGTCGATGGTGACTGATTGTTCTCATTGCAGACTTGAAGACGATGAGCGACCGACTGAAGAACCGCTACTACGTCTCCAAGAAGTTATTCATAGCGGACGTCCAGCGCATCATCACCAATTGCCGTGAGTACAATCCGCCCGAGAGCGAGTACTGCAAATGTGCCAATATGCTGGAGAAATTTTTCTACTTCAAGATCAAAGAGATGGGACTTCTGGACAAATGAAGATCGTTTGGGGTGGGGAACGGGGGGGAAAAGGCGAAGCTTGAAAGGGGGTGACTTTCCGAGCTGACGGACCAGCGACGCGGCAGGCCGAGCCACTCGGCCACACTTACCTCTCGTGACGTCTGTGAACTTGGCAGCCTTGTGAGAAACGGCACTGCTGGGATGGTTGTCGACTGTTACAGTGTCTGGTTGTCGCATTGCCTGGTCGCTGGTTAACGGCGTCAGTCGTTTTCCGAACGCATCAGTCCGTTACGTTCTGATGGTTAACATTGTGGTGACCATCCTTCTGCATGTGACTCCATCCCCCCACACCCTCCCCCCCCCCCCCCCACACTGCTGTCGGTTGTGTTTGTAATCCGAATTATTATTATGGGGTCTTCACGCTCCTTCTCTAAGTATCATCCACAAGCACTGACGGGAGAAATGCACGCCACAGATGTACGCAATAAGTCACGAGCACTACGACAGCAACGAAACAAAGCATTTCCCTGGAATTCATGACGCTGTGAGCTCAGTTTTCACCACACCACACCGCACGCAGTCTGTGACCATCGCTGCATGCCAGTAAACTATACGGATCGTATCAGGGGACTGAGCCCCTGACGGTTATTATTTTTTTTTAAAAAAAAAGAAGAAAAAAGCTTTGTATGTTTGCTGTAATGCCGCGCTGATGTAAATAAATTCAGCTGCAACATCCTCTTGGGAACCGTGGATGTCTTTTTACTGGCGAAATGTTGGTTTAATGATGTTTTCTGTCGAGATGTGTGTGTATTACAGTGGCTCGTGCTGCTTAACACAACCATTCTGTACAGGCCATGGCGTACCATCGCAATCGTGACATTAGCCACAAGATTTAGAGGCATTTCAGATCACGCATCTTTGTAATGAAGCCTCAAAGGGAGAGTACGGTTGTTCTTTCACAGGGAAGTAGATGGTTGATTGTGTTATCCTGACCATAGTTCCATCATTCTGTAGCAAATGAGACTGTTCCTTGATGCGAAAGATGTATTTTCCATTGAAGGTTATTTTATTCAGACAAGAAATACACTCAGTTTATTGGACAACAAGTATTACTGTCAAAACCAGGAGACTGTTGATATTGAACTGTCTGTAAAAATAATTAACAGCTTTGAGAGGTCTCGAAGACGTGATAAGGCATTATTATCAAATGCAAGGATTATTATTCTTATTTTGTAAAATATTTACTGGTGAATCTAACCTTGCTCAATGGATTCCATTGACGAGAGAAAGATTACTGCAGGTTCCTTTCCTCATTGCTAGTCAAGGAAGCAAAGTGGAAGGATTCATTTATAAAACATTCTTTTTTTTTTCTTTCCCCTCCGAGCTCACTATCTGGAGAAGTGATGAAAAGCTTTGCTCCAGTACCGATGCCCTTTTCTTCCGATAAATATTTAATGTCAAACCAAGACAGCTTACAAGAGTGTGTGGATATTTCCATTACTGTTCTTGTTGCCATCCGACTGGAAATGTAGGCACTAGATCAAGAGTCGGTTGCAAAAGCAATGAATAGCTCCATATTAACCTGCACCTTGTTTGTGTCCCAATAATATTGTGTGTGTGTCTGTGATTCACACAGAAGGAAATCCAAGTGCAAAGGAGATGATAATAATAATAATAATCCTTGCATATAATACAGCGCCACATCACGTCTTCGAGACGTCTCAAAGCCCTTCACGGGATACACTGTAAAGTGAATTGACTGTATATTTTGTGTGCGAATTGCGGCAGCCGATTGCGCGCAGCAGCGTCCCCACAATCAGGCGTGGATTGAAGTGACCAATTTTTTTTNATTATTGAACCAAATAATAAAATGAAACGAGATGAAAATGTCGAAGTCATTGACAATTGAATAACACCTTTCAGAAAATTCACAGGCGAGATTTCGGATTACAAAACACCACTGTTCAACATTTACAAAAGGTGGGGACTTTGTGGGGGGGACTTCGAAGGCCAAAATCTCCCGGGACATTTAAGTATTAAATGAATCTGATCTTTAACGGGTGTGATCTTTGAAGTAGCTGAGTGCTTAACTTACTCGGGGAAGTGGAATGGAAAATTAATTTAGATTTCACCTCAAAGAAGATTGTGAAGAGTTGGGAGTAGAGTCAGTGAGCAGGAACCCTCCAGTCACTGTATACATATCCGACCCAAATTTATCATGACAGCCCCGGTTTGATATTTTCCTTTGGACATATCGAGCAGAATATTTAAATATCACAGTGTTTTAAATACCAATGGTTTTGTAGTGATGGTAGAAGCAACCGCAATTAAAAAGAAATTAGCAAAGAAATGCCAGTTCTCTCCGATTGTCACCAAATTTAATTGTGGAGGAAACGATGAAGCCAACAAGCTGTGACTGATAGAAACGAGGAACATTCTAGTGCACTCTCTCTCTCCACGAATCTGGTGATCGTGTGTCGACATTGAAATGGAAATGAACGCCCTTGTTTTCGCTAAAGTGCAACTCGAAACTTAATTCAAAAGAACGCCGATCAGAATGCCATTCAGTCAAACATCTTTGCCTGAATAATAATAATAAATATAAATCCTTGCATTTGCAATAGCCCCTTATCGCGTCTTCGAGACGTCTCAAAGTGCTGCTTTATATACTTTATAAAGTGAATTGATTGCATATTTTGTGGGTGAAAAATAGTGGTGGGGAGTGAGTGACCAAATTATGATTATTATTTTTTATTATTATTATTACACCCGGAAAAGTCGACCGCCAATCGACTAACAACCGGGTTCCTACTTACTGCTAAGTAAATAGTGTGTATATCATTACAGTATATTCTGTGAAGCGCTTTGTGACGTCTCGAAGACGTGAAAAGGCGCTGTATCAAATACAAGTAGTATTATGATTGAGGGTTTTTTTTTTGAGTCTCCAAAGCAGTTGCTGTGTGTTGGCCATTGCTCTTCCCCTCAATGGGCCCTGTTGCAGACTTTCAAGGGAAATGGAAAGCTAAGTTTCAGTTTCTATTCTCGCTAGCAGAGAACAAGCCCGATATAAGAGGGAGGTTGCGAGCAAAAGTCGCGAGCATACCCTGGAGCCAGGCGTCTGAGCACAACAGCATCTCGGTGAGTTGAACCTTTCGTTACTTTGGATCGAATGTGAATCGAACCATGCCTGCTAAACCAGTGATGTGATTTTCAATCCTTAACCTCACTATACTGTACACCTGAGTAATGATAATAATAATAATAATAATAATAATAATAATACTCCTTGCATTTGATATATTGTCACATCAATGAGACGTCTCAAAGCACTTCACATGATATACTGTAAAGTGGGTTTGCTGTGTGTTTAGTCAAACGCGACAGCCAGTTTGCGCACAGCAGTGTCCCCACAAACAGCCAGTGGAGCGAGTGACCGATTTTATTTGGGGGATTGTTGGCCGGGACACTGTGGGGGGCGGGTGGGGGTGCGAGGCTGGGGGAGAGAGAGAGAGAAAAACTGCCTTCTCTTTCCGAATAGTGCCTTGACGTCTTTAACGTCCACCTGAACAGGCAGACGGAGAGCTCAGTTCAAATTCTCAAACGAATGCAATATCTCTGGAGTGACCTCTTATGCACCCGTGGGGGCAAAACTAATTTTCCAGTGAAGCTTTATGTTAAAATTCCTTATTTCCGCCCCCACCCGGCTGTGTGAAGGCTAAATACCTTGTCCTTTTTTTTAAAATGGGGATCCTGTAAATTGTGGAGTCCTGTAGCTCAGTGGTTAGAGCACTCGCTTTGCAAGTGAGAGACCTGAGTTCAATCCCAGGCAGAGGGCGAAACCTTGGGCAAGTTTCCTTACTCCACACAGAGCCTAATAATAATCCCTCCAAAACCCAAAACAATAATAAATTGGTCATTTACAATCTACGACTGTTTGTGGGACATTGCTGTGCGCAATTGGCTGCCGCGTTCGCCCACAAATATACAGTCAATTCACTTTACAGTGTGTTCTGTGAAGCGCTTTGGGACGTCCTCCCGACGTGAAAAGCGCTATATCAAATGCAAGGATTATTATTATTATTATTATTATTATTATTATTATTATCCAGTGTTTGCTGCTGTTCTTGGGGGCTGTAGTTTGTCAATAATAATAATAAAAATAATAAGCCTTGCATATGATATAACGCCTTATCACGTCTTCGAGACGTCTCAAAGCGTTTCACAGGATACACTAAAGTGAATTGACTGTGTATATTTTGCGGGTGAAACGCTATGGAGTGAAAGGGCACTTTTCAAACGAGACAGAGAGATTTGGAAGCGACGTCACACGTGAAACAGTGAGGGAGAGGGTTTGATAATCCTCTTTGTTACAGGTTGGCAATGGAAATTAACTTGCGGGACTACCAATGGGAGGTGGTGAAGCCAGCGCTCGAGGGCAAGAACATTATCATATGGCTTCCTACGGGCGGGGGCAAGACTCGAGCTGCTGTGTTTGTTACCAAACACCACCTGGACACGAAGCGCGGGAAAGGGAAAGTCGCCGTCCTCGTCAATAAGGTACAGACTTAGTAGTAATAATAATAATAATTACCCTTGCATTTGATACAGCGCCTTATCACGTCTTTGCAGAATACACTGCAAAGTGAATTGATTGTATATATTTTTGTGGGCGAAACGCGGCAGCCAATTGCGCACAGCGGCGTCCCCACAAACGGTCGTGGATCGAGCGACCAAATTATTATTATTATTAGTTCTGTTGCTGAAAATTGCCGAGACGTATAGCAGTCAATTTGGACACCTAACTTTGCACGGAAATGTGCCTGACGCGATGTTCGGTGTGTGCAGGTCTCTTTGGTCAACCAACACTATGAGAACGAGTTTAAACCCTTCCTGAATGGAGTGTATTTGGTTGTGCCTATCAGCGGAGACAGCGACCTCAAGGACTGCTTTGGGGTTGTGGTCAAAAAGTACGATATCATCATTTGCACAGCACAGATCCTGCAGAACGCACTCACCAACGCCGAGGAAGAAAAGCACGTAGACCTAACAGGTTAGTGCGGGCTTTCCCGGCGGTCAAAGCGAAACGGTGATTGTCATCATCGTTTTAGTTATAGCCGTCACGTCTCGCCAGCCAACCCGGCAGTCAATCAAGGCCTCGTCGGCTTCCCCGACTCTTCCCTCCGCAAGCTGCAGATCATCCGGAACTCTGCGGCTCGTGTCCTCTCCCGCCCCAGGCTCCGTGACCCCATCACTTCCCCGTCTCAACTGGCTCCCCACCCCCCAGAGGATAGAATTCAAAACCCTCGTCCTGGCTTTCAAGGCCCTCCATGGCCTTGCTCCCTCCTACCTCTCTGACCCACCTACCAACCTGTCCTCTCCCTCCATTCAGCAGGCTCTGACCTGTTCCATGTTCTATATATAATATATAAAATAATAATAATCCTCGCATTTGATACAGCGCTTTTTCACGTCTTCTCGACGTCTCAAAGTGCTTCACAGAATAGACCGTAAAGTGAATTGACCGTATATTTGTGGGCGAAACGCGGCAGCCAATTGCGCACAGCAGCGGCCCCGACAAACAGCCGTGGATTGAAAATGACCAATTTATTATTGTTTGGTTTTTTGGAGGGTTATTATTAGGTGTGCGGAGTAAGGAAACTTGCCCAAGGTTTCGCCCCCGGTCTGGAATTGAACCCGGGTGTCTCGCTTGCGAGGCGAGTGCTCTAATCCCTGAGCTACAGGACTCCACATATACAAAAATATATAATTGTTTATATTTGGAACAATTTCACGAGCAGTCAGGAAGAAGAGTGAGTCACTTTAACTCTTTTGGTTGTATTTCACGTTTACAATTTTACATTTATCGTGAGGAAGACCCAGAAGTGCTCTAAAGCACATTGGACTGAGAAGCACAAAATCTGAAGGGGTAGAGGAATAACCCTAGAAATCCGGAGCTGTGAAGCTGGGAAAAATTGTCCTTTATCTGGATTTTAACCCTTAAATCCACGACTGTCTGTGGGACGCTGCTGCGCGCAAACGGCCGCTGTGTTTCGCCCACAAAACACACAGTTAATTCACTTGACCGTATATCCCGAGAAGCGCTTTGAGACGTCTCAACGACGTGATCAGGCGCTGTATCAACTGCACGGATTGTTATTATTGTTGAAACTTTTCTGAGATTTTTTTCAAAATAGATTTCTCCCTGTTGATCATTGACGAGTGCCATCACACCCAGAAGGACGGGGTGTACAATCAGATCATGGGCCAGTACATTGAGATGAAACAGAAACGCACACAGAGTTTACCCCAAATCCTCGGTCTCACCGCCTCCCCAGGCACCGACGGAGCCAATACCTTTGATAAAGCTCAGGGTCACATCCTAAAGGTTAGCTCAACCTCTGCTTCCCCTGTATTGACGTTAACTTATCGATGTGTTTGCAGTGTGTGTGACTGCACGTTAAGAGAAACAAAAAAATACTCTCTTGGTGAAACTATCCGTTGGTGAAACGCTGCACCTTAGTGGTTAGAGCACTCGCCTCGCAAGCGAGAGGACCTGGGTTCGATTCCCAGGGAGGGAGGGCGAAATGTTAAAGCACGTTTACTTTCTCCACACACACACACACACACACACACACACTTCTGTTTACCTGGCAGTAAGTAGGAACCCGGTTGTTAGCCAATTGGCGGATCACTTTTCCGGGAGTAATAATCCCCCTTTCCCCCCACCCCCCCCCCCCATATAATAAATAAATAAATAATAATAATAATTTGGTCACTCAATCCACAACTGCTTGTGGCAAACTGCTGTGCGCAATTGAATGCCACGTTTCGCCCACAAATGATACAGTCAATCCAGTATATTCTGTGAAGCGCTTTTGAGACGTCTGAAGACCTTTTACCTGACCGTGCCTCCGCTTCGAGACGCTAAATGCAAGTTGTTGTGTTTCTAATTTTATATAATATTCCTCGGTTCCCGGCAGATCTGCGCTAACATGGATGCGTCCATGATAATGTCCGCCACGGTACACATTGAGCACCTAGAAGAGAAGGTGCCTCAGCCTGTAAAGAGATATGATATCGCAGAAGAGCGAAAGCAGGTAAGAATCTTCACTCCTCACCTTAAAAATATTAAGACACAGAAGTGTTAATAACTGCTACATCATGATGGTAATAATCAATAATAATCGACAGTAATCACTAATAAGAACCTAGTGATTGCCACTGCTATTATCAGACATTAGAGAGGTTTCATGTTGATAGGTTAAAAGTGCAGAGGTGATTGCGACTGATATTAGTAACTTACCAGAATTAGTCAGGGTTTCTCAATGAAACACAGAGACTTTTTATTTAGTGAGTTGTTTGCGGCTCTGTGTAACATTGATCTTCGCTCTTGTCTCGCATTCCCTCCCCCAGGACCCCTTTGGAGACCAGATTAAGAGGATGATGAGGACCATTCATTCCCACTTAGACGAACCTTCAATCACCGGGAACTTGGGATCGCAGATTTATGAACAAGCAGTGGTCGAGCTTGAGAAACAAGGTGACGTCTCGATTCCTTTCTGAAACGTCGATTTATTTTTCTCCTCGTCACAAGGTGTTTGACTCCTTTCCTCCCACGAGAGCCTGTTACTCGTGCCCGAGTTGGAAGGTTATGGACCTGAATTTGCAGAGTCAAACCGGTTCCTGACCTGGTCTAAACTCCGCACTTCCGTACCCTTCCAACCATGGGCTTACAAGTGTTCTACAGTTACTAAGTCTGCTTGTTCAGGTGCACGTTACCTTAGGCGCGAATTGAAAAGAGAAGGGAGTTCCTCCTTGTGTCCCGATCATCAGTCTCCCCAGAAAACGTTGGGTATTTCGTTCACTTCCCCGGCTGTTTGCGGGACTTTGCTGCGCCCAGAACTGGCTGCCGCGCTTGCCTACGAGAAGCACAGTCGCTGCCCGGTAAGCCCCTGGTGAAGGCTTTGAGACGCGTTGGTAAACGTGATAAGGTGCTAAAGCGAGCGTCGTTGAAACTATTATCATTGTCACGCAAACCTGACCGCTGCTGGGGTTGTAACGTCTCCGGGTGAGCTGTGGGAGGGTGCGGTGTGTAACGGCAGACGTGACCACGCGGATGGCAGTCAGGGTCGGTGTTTTAAGTCGCCTGTCATCATCTTTGTCACTAGGTGCCATAGAGTCCAACAGACTGAAACGAGTCAGCGCTCAGCACCTCCGCAAATACAACGATTCCCTTCTCATCAATGACGCCGTGCGGATGATCGACGCCTTTCGTTACCTGGAGGACTTCTACCGAACCGAGGAAGCCACCAAAACCATCCTGGATGGAACCGATCGCTTCTTGCTCCAAGTGTTCAAAGGTGAGCGACGATATTCACTGACATCCTTTGATGTCCTGTAGCTCAGTGGTTAGAGCACTCGCCTCGCAAGCGAGATACCTGGGTTCGATTCCAGGCCGGGCGAGACCTTACTCCACACACCTAATAATAACCCCTCCAAAACAAAACAATAATAAATTGGTCATTTTCAATCCACGACTGTTTGTGGGGGACGCTGCTGTGCGCAATTGGCTGCCGCGAAACGGTGGTTGGCGATCGAGACCTACAGCCTCAGGTAACGTCGGCCTGAGGCTGATGTGGCCCCAACACTGCCTCGGCTTGAGATTAGTTGGGCCCAGCGCAGCGCAATTTAGTTCAGTTCCAATCAAAGATATCTTTCCTGGCGGGGCTCAGCACCCCACACTGGACGTGCTCCTTTACCGTCCTCTTTCCCCGCCCAGTCCCCCCCCAGAGAAGCCAGTGCCACAATGGTTAAGCATCCAGTCATTTGTTGAAGCGACAAACTTATGGTGAGGAATGAGCTGAGAGAGGTTAATATCGGGGATGGTGTGGGGGTGGTGGGTGGGGGGATAACTGTTCACAGCTTTGCACATTGTTGTCGTTGTCATCGTTGTTGTCGTCGTCGTCGGTGGTGGTGATGAAAGTCCACCCAGTGATGACCGCTCTCCCTGCTCCTCCCACCAGACAATCGGGAGGAACTCCGCCATCTGGCCTCGGACGCCAGGTTCGAGAATCCCAAGCTCCGCAAATTGGAAGAGACGCTGCTGGAACGCTTCGAGACCTCGAATTCCCGAGGGATCGTGTTCACCAAGACCCGGCAGAGCACCCACGCCCTGGTGGACTGGATCCGCAGCTGCCGCCTGTTGATGGCGGCTGGGATCAAGGCGGAGGTGCTGACGGGAGCCGGGATCAGCAGCCAGACCAAGCACATGACTCAGGTGTGAGCGGCAGCGATCGCGGCAGCGTTCCCGACCAGAATAATGGGATTCCCAACAGCCTTGGCCTCCGCGCTGACTCTGGAACACTCTTCCTCTAACCCTCCGCCTCGCTCCTCCCTTCCACATCTTCAGATCGCGCCAGAAGACCTTCACTCCCCCCCCACTCCCCTTTCGACCTGTGCCTACGGTCATCTCCCCCCGCACCACCACCCCCTCCCCGGCTCAGAGGCATCATTGTCAAGCGCTCTGGGACATTACCCTGCGTGAGGGGACGCTAAATTGTTGTTGTCACTGTTGAGTGCGATGGTGGTGGTGGTGGGTCAAGGGATCGATCTATCAGATTTATTTTTCCTCTTTCTTCTCTCCCCTTCTTCTCTCTCTCTCCCTTTTTCTCACACTCCCAGTAACGCTCCGATCGTGTACCCCCCTCTTTACAGCAAGAGCAGCAGAATGTCATTCAGAAATTCCGCAATGGTGCCCTCAACCTCCTCGTCTCGACCAGCGTGGCAGAAGAAGGTCTGGACATCAAGGAATGTAACGTGGTCATCCGCTACGGGCTGATCACCAACGAGATCGCCATGGTCCAGGTCCGCCGGCCCGCGCCTTTAGTTCTGCCGCCCGCGCGTGGCTGCCGTGTTTACACAGTCAATTCACCTTACAGTGTATTCTGTGACGCGCTTTGAGACGCGGAACCTGAGTCCTCTCGCTTGTGAGGCAAGCGCTCTAACCACTGTAGCTGCAGGACTCCACGGAGAACGAACTCGATTTGTTCTACAACAACAACAACTTGGGTTTATATAGCGCCCAAGTTGGGGTTAGGGTTAGGGTTAGGGTTAACCCACGCTGGATGGCGTCTCAGAGCGGTTCGCATTGACGGCTCCCGGGGCCGAGCCGAGGTGGGGTGGGGGGGTGGTGAGCAAAGGCGCGTCTTCAGCAGAGACCTGCAAATAGGAAGAGAGGGGGCGAGAGGAAAGGAGTGAGGACGGGAGTTCCAGAGCCTCGGGGCGCAGTGGCTGAAGGTACGGCCGCCGAGGGTGGAGCAGAGGACTCGGGGGAACGAGGAGGAGGCCAGACCCGGTGGAGTGACCTCCCCTCACCCTCACAAGGAGATTGCGATGGATACTCAGTCGGGTCTTGAGCTGTTGATTTCCTCGTCCCCTGACGTTTCTGCCTCTTTTTTTCCCCCCACCCCTTGTCTTTAGGCCAGAGGCCGCGCGAGAGCTGAGAACAGCATGTACTCAGTGGTTGCCGATTCCGGTAGCAGAGAGATCCAGCGGGAATTCACCAATGAGTATCGTGAGCAGCTGATGAAACGCGCCATCCAGGCCGTGCAGAACATGGACCAACGCGACTACCTTTTGAAGGTCAGAGATTTTAACCACGAAAGGAAATAATAAATCGGTCACTTCAATCCACGACTGTTTGTGGGGGAGGCCGCTGAGCGCAGTCGTCTGCCGCGTTTCGCCCACAAAACATACGGTCAATTCACTTTACGGCGTATCCCATTAAGCGCTTTGAGACGTCTCGAAGACGTGATGAGGCGCTGTATCAAATGCGAGGATTATTATTATTATTATTATTTATTTATTATGATGATATTTCTCTTCCAGATTCGTGAACTGCAAATGGAAGAGACAATGTGCCGGAAAATGAAGCAATCAAAGTCAAACACCAAGAAGAAGGAAAACCTTCCTAAGCTCATCAGGTTCTACTGCCTTAATTGCAACATCGCTGTGTGTCATGGCAGTGACTTGAGAATCATTGAAGGCATGCACCATGTTAATGTGAATCCTAACTTCAGGTAAACACGGAGGAAATGCCTCTGAGCTTCTGAACCTAACATCGTGTAAGAAACCGCTCGAGTCTTGTCGTAGGAAAACTCTATGGCGGGTGCCTTAAATAAGACAAAGGGCCTTCTTTATCCAAACTGCTTCCTCACCATTTTTCGGTACTTATAACGTACTACAGTATCAGTACTTAACATACCAATAATTTGGTCACTCAGTCCACAACTGTTTGTGGAGACGCTGATGTGTACAATTGGCTGCTGATTTTCGCCCACAAAATATACAGTCAATTCACTTTATAGTATATTCTATGAAGCGCTTTGAGACACTTCAAAGACATGATAAGGCGCTAAATCAAATACAAGCTTTCTTACTGTTACTTCGAGCCAATTAAAGCCATATCGTAAATGTTCGCCAATAAAATACGGTTACCAGACTTTACGGTAAATACCTGTGCAGTGCTTTGCACATCTTCACAACATGAGGCGGGTGGCAGAGAGAAACTGAGAGATGTCCTGATCTGGGAACAGACCGCTTGTTTGATTGGCTTTCATCTCCTGTTCTGTTTGTTCAGTATTTACTACAAGGTGGGCGGAGTGATACCCATTAAGAGGAAGTTTGAGGACTGGAAGCCGGGTGGCAAAATCAGCTGTCAGAAGTGTGGTCAGGTGCGTATTCTCCTGTCCATTCTACTTACACCAGTAAACATCTGAGACAGCTAGCTCTTAAGTAAGTCCATTATGTCTATCAACTTCCAGCTGTTGATTTTCATCTGTGTAAAGAACTAACTCGCTCTACACGGCAGTGTACTTGTGACCTCTTATACCTGCTACCTTGGCGATCTGTAAATCTAGAGCTGGTTTTACTCTGAATCCCATTTAGAGTCTGTTATCCGCCCTTCTGAAAAGATCCTCCTCCGAGAGGCATCTCTCTTCCAGCCCCAGCTCATCTATTATTGCTCGCAGCTCAATCCCTCTTAACACCGGGGATCAGCCCTGTTGCTCTCCTTAATCAAAATGCAATCAAGAGTTCCGCAGAGCAGAGCTGCCAATTAAACCGAAGCAACACTGGGCGTAAGGCAATGTTTGCATTGCTCTCTTTGTAGGACTGGGGCATGGAGATGATCTATCGGGCTCTGAGCATACCCAGCTTGAGCATCAAGAACTTTGTGGTCGAGACGCCAAGCGAGAGAAGGGGCTTCAAACAGTGGAAAGGTGTTCCCTGCCAGATCCCAGAGTTCAGCTACACCGAAGCTTTCGAAGCCATGAATTTGAACTCCTAACTTGAGTGCTTTCAAGTGAGGTGTGTGTCAGGCGTGGCCTCTGTAAGTGGCTTCAGCACCTTTAGCTTCTACTCCTAGACCCGCGATTTCTTCTGTTGGTTACCCTCTGCGTAAAGAAATACATGATGTCTACACACACCCACACAAACACACACATACACAAATGACCCTTTCCCCCAACACACACAAACACCTCACACACGTAGACAAACACCCCCACACACATACACAAACACCCCCACATACATACACCCCTACACACATACACAAACACCCCCACACACATACACAAACACCCCCACATACATACACCCCCACACACACAAACACCCTCACACACGTACACAAACACCCCCACACACGTACACAAACACCCCCACATACATACACCCCCACACACATACACAAACACCCCCACACACATACACAAACACCCCCACACACATACACAAACACCCCCACACACATACACAAACACCCCCACACACATACACAAACACCCCCACATACATACACCCCCCCCCACACATACGCAAACACCCCCACACACATACACAAATACCCCCCCACACACAATACACCCAACACACACATGGTCAGATCCCACAGGATACTGAGAATCCTGGGAACTTAAGCGCTCTGAAACGCTATCCTGAGTGAAGGGCGCTATGTAAATGCAAGTTGTTGGTGGTGGTGGTGGTGGTGATGTTGTTATTTGTTTGTTGTTGTTTGTTGTACACTTGTGACTTCCATCCTGGAATCGCGGACAGCTTTGCATATCCCGGAAAGATTCCCGGCGGAACCCACCACCTGGAAGCTCATCTGTATAACACAACCCAGCGCTTTGGGACCATCCTCCTGAAGTGTAAAGCGTTCCCACTAATGTAATTTATTGTTGCGATGGGCACTGAGGTTTGGTTTCAGTGAAGTCTGAGTGTGTGCTTAATGCCGTCAGAACAGGACTTCAGATCTGCATTTGGTACCCGAAAGCAGATCGAATATTCCGTAGTTTTAAGACGCACTGTCACTCCTAATACGATTGATTTCTTTTTAAAGTAGTATCACAAGCTCTACGTTGCACTTATTACACTTTGCTGTCGTGTACCTGTACTGTATCTTTAGAGCATCTTGTCGATCGGGTGCGTTCACTGTGGCGAAAATAAAAATTAGGAATAGGTTTGTCGTCGAATTCAGTTCACGCATCAACGTGTTCAGGGGAAAAACTTGACTATGAAGGAAGGGGGGGGGGGGGTGTAGGAGAGGGGGGAATAGAGAGGGTGTAGGAGAGAGGGGGGTTAATAGAGAGGGTGTAGGAGAGGGGGGAATAGAGAGGGTATAGGAGAGGGAATAGAGAGGGGGGAAAAGAGAGGGTGTAGGAGAGAGAGAGGGTGTAGGAGAGGGAGAATAGAGAGGGTATAGGAGAGGGAATAGAGAGGGTAGAAGAGAGGGGGGATAGAGAGGGTATAGGAGAGAGGGAATAGAGAGGTGTGGAGCATAAACCAGACCAGCCTGAGAGTCTATGTCACGGATGGCCACTGGAGGGCGCCACACTGTCATTGACTGGTTCTGATGCGTTTAGATTGGCTGCCCAGTTTGCCCACACAACACACAGTCACTACACTCGACAGTAAATCCCGCAAAGTCCTTTTGAGGCACTTTGACGGCACCAAATGCCATAAGACGCCGTATAACTGCAAGGATTGCTACTGCTATCGTTATCATAAACATCCACAGAAATCCTCAGTAACTCAGTGTTAGGTATTGGTAATTTTTTTAATTAATTTTTTTTATTACCCCGGGGAAAGCCCCCCCTCTTCCCCCCCCCCCCCCCACCACCACCATCGACTAACAACCGGGTAACCGGGTTCCTATTTACCGCCAGGTAAACAGGCGTATTTAGAGCAGGAAATTTGCCCGACATTTCGCCGGGAATCGAACCGGGTAGTCTTCTCTTTCGCGAGACGAGTGCGCTAGTTTAGTAGAAACCTTGTCCCTAACCTTTAAGACCATGGGTTCAGTCCCCTTGTTGAGAGTTGAGCGCCCTAACCCTGACCCTGATCGATGTAGAGCGCTTCCCGCCGTATAAATAATCCCTCCAAAAAAAAAACAATGATAAATTGGTCATTTTCGATTCGTGGGGACGATTCTGTTGTGCGCAATTGGCTGCCGCGTTCGCCCACAAATATACAGCCGATTCACTTTACGGTATATTCTGTGAAGCGCTTTGGGACGTCGAGAAGACGTGAAGAGCGCTATATCAAAATGCGAGGATTATACTAAAAACAAAAACTTGTAAAAATACCCGTTTGTTCTCCGAGTGCAGAGGTATAGATTTTCCAATGGGTTCCGTTGTCTGCACACGGGCCTTGTCGAATGATTTAGTTTCTGCGTCGCTCGCTGCCTGCTGTTCTGATAAGAGGAGTAGCGTATCATTAGTTGCCGTAATCCTTTTCCGATAGTTTCATGGGCTCTTTAGCATTCAATCAGGCATTAATATCGGCTTTTGTGATCCCATCATCCGTTATCCTCCACTTCAATTTTTTTTTCCTTTGCCTTTCTTTCTTTGCCCCCACCCGCTCCGCTCCCCTTCTCCGTTTGTCCTTATGAACTGCTCCCCCTTCCAAAATTAATTCCCCCCCACCCCCCACCCCCCAGCTCTAACAAAAGGTCACCGACTTGAAACGCTAACTCAGTTTCCTCTCGCCAAAGACGCTGCCTGACCTGCTGAGCGTTCCCAGCGAGTTCTGTTTTTAGTTAGTCTTAATATCGGCTTAATATCTCTTCCAAAGGACAGCTGGACTGTGAGCTCAAAGTCCCCCACGTGGGGCTTGAAGCCGCTGACACATTGTAGGGCTTTGGCTCAATGGATTGATCTGCCCCCCTCCCCCCCAGTTCAAGAGCTCTGGGGCGCTATCCTATGTGAGCGGCGCTGCGTAAATGAAAATTGTTGTTGTTGGTCTGCATCTCATCTGAGAAATTCAAGCCAATTTTCCACCTAACCCCCTTCAATCAAATAATTACTGCAAACCAAACCGTTGTAGAGTTAAAGCTCCGCGTGCGTTGTAACACCCTTCTGCGAAACACACAGTCACTGCACTTCACAGTGAGTCCCGTGAGGCGCTCTGAGACGTCCTCCTTGACATGAGAGGCGCTGTACCAAACGCAAGGATTAGAGCATCATTATTATTACTGCTGCTGCTGTTACTGCTTCGTACTATCGTACTGTTGTGCGTCAGCACAGGGTGGCGGTCAAGAGCCATGAGATCGAGAGAGAAATGGGACTTTCTTGGTTGCGAGAGTGATGTTTAACGGGACCCAGAGGGAAAGGGTTCAAGCAGTGAGATCAGGGAGTCACTGTGTCTAAGAGGGATTCAGCAAAAAGATCAAGAGGAGCATTGACGGTAATTTCACCTTCTCCTCCCAACGCCCACCTCCCCATCCGCTGCGACGCCCGCTGTTAGCAGTCAAACTACGTGGCGCAGGTGTGTTCACGTCTGAGGGCCCGACTCCCGCCTTGTCCTATTAGCCCGTCTCGACTATTTTTCTCTCCCAGTGCAAGATTACTAAGGACCGTGGACCAAAAAGAAAAAGGAAAAAAAAAAAATCTTTTAATCCTGTCTTAATCCGGAAACCGGAAACCGCGCTGTAGAAAGAGCCTGATTGTGTGTAAGGTTTTGCTTCCCCCAATGGATTTTATATATCTTAATCCCAATTAATCTTGCCCGGCATTCCTCCCCAGTCATGATTAAAGCAATTCTTTTCATCCCGTATATCACGTGCTACGGCTTTTATTCCTGCGTGGCGTTTAACTCACAATTAGCCCCAAACCTTGGCCAAGGTTCCTTACTCCACACGTCTCTGTTTACTTGGCAGTGAGTAGGAACCTGGTCGATTAGTGGATAGGACTAGAGGGGTAATAATACCCCCCCTTTACATAAATAAATAATAATTTGGTCATTCGCTCCATGACTGTTTGTGGGGACGCTGCTGTGCGCAATTGGCTGCCGCGTTTCGCCCACAAAATACGCAGTCACCCCACTTTACAGTACATCCTGTGAAGCGGTTTGAGACGTCTCAATAACGCGCGATAAGGTGCTATAAAGATGTAACTTGTTATTATATAAACTCCAAAGGGAAGAGAGAGAGAGAGAGAGAGAGAGAAAGCTTTCTTATTATTTTACCTGGCGAGCGCTGTACAAATGCCGGTCACTATTACAGTCAAGAGGCAAAAATCATTTCAGACAGAATTCCGCCTTGTATTTCAGCACACGTGTTTAGGGGAATATATTGTTCCAACGCCTCCTGATACGGGCTTTGATATCTGTCTCCCAGCAGTCGTTGAGCAGAGCCTCAGGGAGACGGTGTAACAGACCTCCAGGAAATGTGTTTTCGCGATGAGTACCTATTTCTTTTCCTCCTGTGACACGCATGAATACCCAACAGCTGCAGACTCTTCGCCACTGGGAGCTCGGACTGCTTTTTATAGAAATTGAGGCAGATCATTACCCTCCGTGCCATGTCTGCACACCTCTGCCTTCCTCTGTCACCGTTTTTCCCCTTCTCATCCCCTTCAACGTCTCCCGTCAGCGACGTCAATGGACGGAATTAAATGCAAAGCGATTTCGACATACGGTGCTTTCACCAAACGCTGAGCAACGCATAATAATAATAATACTAATAATCCTCGCATTTGATACAGCGCCCTATCACGTCTTCCAGACGCCTCGAAGAGCTTCACAGGATACTCTGTCGAGTGGATTGACTTTATTTTGCGGGCGAAGTAAGGTGGTCCATCTGGAAAAGGCGCAGTCACTGCACTTTGCAGTGAATCCTGTAGCAGTGCTTTGAGACGTTTTGACACGCATCAACCGCAAGGAAAGTTGCACGTTTCGTATTAAGAAACCCGTTTAGAAATGTCGCGAGTTCGGACCCGCAAACAGGTTCGGTGCTGGGGAGTTGCGCAGCGAATTGGCCAGTGCGGAAGTTATCCCCCATTGGAGGCTGTTAGTGGACTCGCCTGAGAGTTTAGCTTCCGAGTTGAGGGTTTTGTACAAGTTCATCCTTTGTGAAAGGCACTGAGTCACCGAGTGCTGCTGTTGTTTGTTGTTGTTGTTGTACGTGTGCTATGATGCGTGTTAAAATCAAGTCTACTT